ATCCTTGTTAAATTTTTCAAGGATTTTATCAATATAATGTGATTGGCTTAACACCAGACCATCAGGTCTTCTAATGATTCTAATCCCGAGGATTAAATCAGCCAAACCCATATCCTTCATGTCAAATCTCGCATTTAACATGTTTTTGGTAGACTTGATCATCCGATCGTTACTACCAACGATGAGCATGTCATCTACGTATAAACAAAGAATGACATAACCGTCTATCGTTTCTTTAACGTAGACACATTTGTCACTTTCGTTTATTTTAAACCCATTAGTCAACATCGCATGATCAAACTTCTCGTGCCATTGCTTAGGCGCTTGTTTTAAACCATATAGCGATTTAACCAACTTACACACTTTCCTTTCTTGGCTCGGAACCACGAACCCTTCGGGTTGTTCCATATAGATTTCCTCATCTAGTTCGCCATTTAGGAAAGCGGTTTTAACGTCCATTTGATGAACTTCCAAATTCCGCAGCGCGGCTATAGCAAGTATCATTCTAATGGAGTTTATTCTCATCACGAGAGAATACGTGTCGAAGTAATCAAGGCCCTCCCGTTGCCTGTAACCCTTGATTACAAGCCTAGCCTTATACTTCTCGATGGAACCATCGGGTTTCATCTTCCTTTTAAAGACCCACTTGGATCCTAAGGGTTTACTATCCGGAGGAAGATCAACAAGTTCCCAAGTGTGATTCTGTAAAATAGAATCCACTTCACTTTTAATAGCCTCTTTCCACATTGGTCCTTCTGTAGAAGTCACGGCTTCTCCGTACGTTCGAGGCTCGTTTTCTATCAAACAAGATAGAAAATCGGGTTCATTTTCTAATAAACAAGTTAGAGTACTCGAATCGTACTCCAACAAGTAAGTTAGAAAATCAGGACCAAATGATTTTCCAACTCTCGCCCGCTTACTGCGTCTTGGCTCGAGCTCGGGTTCTCTCTCGGATTCCCCACTATCATTATCCATAGCTTCGTCAAACGTTCGTTTTGACGAACTCGGTCCCTCATTGGACCTACAAGGAAATACATTTTCAAAGAAAGATGCATTCCTTGATTCTATTATCGTGTTCTCGTGTACGTCCGGATTATGGGACTCGTGTACTAAGAACCGATAAGCACTACTATTATGTGCATAACCAATAAAGATACAATCCACCGTCTTAGGACCTATCTTTACTTTCTTAGGTGTTGGCACCAAAACTTTGGCAAGACACCCCCCACACTTTCAAGTACTGATAGGAAGGTTTCCTACCGTTCCACAGCTCATAAGGAGTCTTATCAAGCTTCTTGTGGGGTACCTTATTCAAAAGGTAATTACTTGTCAAAATAGCTTCACCCCACGCGTCTTGAGGTAGGCCCGAACTTATAATCATCGCATTCATCATATCTTTCAATGTACGATTCTTTCGCTCGGCAACACCGTTCGATTGAGGTGAGTAAGGTGCAGTACGCTCGTGTATTATACCTACACTCGCACAGAAGTCACCAATAGGTGCTTCGTACTCACCACCTCGATCGCTTCTAACTTTCTTAATCTTACGATTAAGTTGGTTTTCAACTTCATTCTTATAAAGAATGAATTTTTCCAAGGCTTCGTCTTTGCTTTTAAGCAAATACACATAGCAATAACGTGTGCTATCGTCGATAAACGTGATAAAATATTTATTACCACCTCTCGTTTGTATCGATCTAAAATCGCACAAATCACTATGGATTAATTCTAGTGGTTCAGTTTCCCTTTCAACCGATTTGAAAGGTACTTTCGTTAATTTTGCCTCAACACAAATTTCACATTTGTTATTTGTGTTAATTTGAAAATTAGGAATATGGTCCATGTTAATTAATCTACGTATAGAATTATAATTAACGTGACCTAGTCTACCATGCCACAAATTGGAAGACTCAAGCAAGTAAACGGAATTAACTTTGCTCTTATTCATGATAACATGCATTACATTGAGCTTAAAAAGCCCATCAGTTACATAACCTTTGCCTACAAACATTCCTAACTTAGACAAAACAACCTTGTCTGACTCGAACACCATGCGAAAGCCATGCTTGTTCAACAGTGAGCCAGACACCAGATTCTTCCTCAGCTCTAGAACATACAGCACGTTGTTCAACGTCAGTTCCTTCTCGGAAGTCAGCTTCAGAACCACCTTGCCCACGCCTTCCACAGCAGACTGAGCAGAGTTTCCCATCCAAACCTTCTCGCCCTCAACGGTCTCAAAGGTGTTGAACATTTCTCGGTTGCAACACAAGTGCCTTGTTGCACCAGTGTCGATGAACCACTCTCGTGGATTAGAGTCCACGAGGTTCACCTCGGTCACCATAGCCGAAAGGCTAATCTCGACCTCCTTCTGATTGCTTTCCTCAACCATGTTGGCTTCAGAACTCTTGTTCTTCTTCTTTGGAACTTTGCACTCAGAGGACTTGTGGCCAGTCTTGCCACAATTGAAGCATTTTCCATGAAATTTCTTCTTGGTAATGCCTCCTTTCGGACCTAGCTTTTGCTTGTTCTTCTTGGAGCTTTTAGCATGCTCCACAACATTGGCCTTAGCGCCAATAGTGACAGGATTTCTCCCATCATTCGTCCTGTTCCCCTCCTCAATTCGGAGTCGCTGGATCAGGTCCTCCAGGTTCATTTCCTTTCGCTTATGCTTAAGGTAATTCTTGAAGTCCTTCCACCCTGGAGGCAACAAGTGGATAACAGATCCCACTAGGAAGGCTTCACTCGACTTCATGCCTTCGTCACGGATTTCATCAAAGATTAGTTGTAAATCTTCAACATGACTTAGCACGGTTTTGGAATCAACCATTTTGAAGTCAAGGAATCGGCCAACCACAAATTTCTTTGCGCCGGCATCCTCACTTCGGTATTTATGATCCAAAGCTTCCCACAGCGCTTTCGCTGTGCCAATCTTGCGATATACATCGTATAACGCATCACACAATCCATTTAGGATGTAGTTTCGGCATAGGAAGTCCGAATCCTTCCAATAGCCAACTGCCATCACGGATTGGGCATCCTGTTCCCTTAATTCGGGAACCTTCTCGGTCAAAAATCTCGCCAAGCCGAGAGTTGCTAGGTAGAACAACATCTTTTGTTTCCACCTTTTGAAATTCGATCCAATACCGGTGAATTTCTCCGGTCTTTCGGCCGAACCACTCGGTACCGTAGGTACCCGAGTCATGGGAATATATCCCTCGGTGCTCCCACCATCTTGTGAACCAACGTTCACTGGTGTAGCCTGGGAATTAGCAACATTATTGCCATTCCCACCACTGTTGTTCTCAACAACATTCTCCTCCCCGAGAGCTGGCAAAACTGGATTCTCCATTTCTTCTAGGAAATTAGAGATTAACAACCAACGGGAAACGAAATATAAGGTTTTAAGATTGTTGGGTAATATGGTTGAAAAATCCCAAAAATAATAATAATCCTACGGAAAGATTAATATTATATGGGAAAACAGAAAAATTGGGAAGGAAAAGGTTGAGTGTTTGGGTATAGGTTTAGCACGAGTTCGAACACAAGGTTCTTTTCCTTAAAACCTTATTTGCTACCTCCCACAAGTGCTAGGAGCGTTGTAGCCTAGGTTTGCCAGAATAAAACGTGTTACGATTCCTTGTTTAAGCACCTAAACAAGGAACCCGGCAAACAAAGCAAAGCTTAGAGCACAGGTTGGATAAAAGAAGAGAGTAGAAGCAGAGTTTTGAGATGAAAAGCTACTGGAATTCCTTTTGTCTCACTGTGTAAAAAGCTACTGCTTCTACCTCTCTTTATATAGGGATGTTAGAGAGATAGCATTCAACATGGCTTTTAATTGGTATTAAACCAATTGTATAACACCTGTAACGGTCACCCACTAAGTAGGATTAAACTCAGATTTTAAATTGGAATTAAAACAGTATTAATTCCGTAACAGATGAGTTTAATCTGTACAACAGGCTGAACTTTCGGGTTTCAGACCGTTGGGGCCAGCCCATTTCCGGACGACATTCGTGCCCGCAGGTGCCGGCGCACGCGAGCTCGGGCTTGATTTCAAGCCTTTTTGATGTCCTCTAGTTGGATTTTGATTTGCACCCCCGCCCCCCGCGTAAGAGAGCCTCTATGCTATACAATTCTACAAGCTTGAAAAGAGCTCATGTATATAAGGGGGGCAAATCTTGTTTCCAAACCAATGTGGGACAAAGTCCTACATTTTTCCTTCATTTCCCAACTTAAATAGGTCTACTTTGAGAATCAATATCTCATTCACCCATTATCCGTTTTGAGCGTACAATATATCAATCTCTTCGTCTTACTACGAAGAATCCGAATCCACTTTGACCCGACCTAAATCGGAAGTGGACCCCACTGATAATTTTACCACAAAATAGCCACTTAATATGCCATTTTAAGCTAATTTTTCCAACATATTTTTCTTTTCTAAATTTTCTATGTAGCATTTGGTTTAGTTTTTATGATTCATATTGCATTTTCAGTAATTTTAAACATTTTAGTGTTAAGGTGACACTACTAAATCCTAGTTATCTCGAAACCTCTCTACTTGTCTCACGAAATCTTACTTCTTTTTTGGGAGTTTCTTCATTTGGTGGCCGCCGGCCTCTAGTCGAAGCTTTGAGCCTTTGACGGAGCTTCGCTTCTTGGTCGGCTGTCTCCTATTTTCTTTTGTTTTTTGTTTTTTTAGTTTCATAATATAGTCCATTGCCGATTCAGCCACCAATCCTTCAAAGAAGTTGCGGTAGTTTCAATGATCTAAAGTTTAAGGATTCCGCTAAATCTGGATAAAGTGGTGGTTTGATTCTAGTGGATCCGTAAAATAAAGTTCAAGAGGTGTACTACTGGTTCTCTTTTCTTTTGTGTTCTGCTTTTTACTGTGTTTTTCTCTTGTTTGTGTAACGAGTTTGTTTTCTTCTGATTTCTTTTGGTGAGTTCTTTTCATCATAAGTGTGAAACATATAGGTTGGTCATGGTGTATGTGAACTTCATCCTGGGTGACAAAGATGACAATGTAAAAGAGCATCTGCAGCTCAGCTCGATGGATATATTGTCAATGAACGACAAATGGAAAACGTATACTCAGATGGTGTGCAAAATTTTTTAACCAAAGTCAGTCTTGACTACGATTGATCAATTCTTCAATGATATTAAAGAAGCGGTAAATTCATCTAACGAATTTAGTTTCAAATTTGTGAAACAATCTGTGAATCAAATTCTTTGTAGCATCCCTAAAAAAGTTGTTTCTATATCTGACTACTAGTAGTTGCACCCGTGCGATGCACGGCAATATATATATATATTATATGGAATATATAGTATAAAATATAGTTATTAAAAATGTAATAAATTAGAGATGAAAAAATATAAATTTCATTACACATTGTTGAAGACTTCTTTGTAGACGACATTTGTTGTCTTACTTCGACATGTTACATCTTCATCACAAATCAAAATTTTTAAACCCCTCGGATTACTAACTCTAGAAACAGCTACGTACATCTGGCCATGGTTAAAGACAGGTCTTTTTAAAAACAATCCTACTTTTGCCAGTGTTTGTCCTTGGCTTTTGTTTATTGTCATGGCATAGGATAGCATCAAAGGAAATTGCTTTCGTTGGAATTTGAAAGGCAATCTAGGATCTGACGGTGTAAGTGACATTCTTGGAATCAAAACTGTAGTACCTGCATTTGTACCGGCCATGATCTTGGCCTCCAACATGTGATCAGCTAACCTTGTTACAATCAACCTTGTACCGTTGCATAATCCAAGAGTATGATCAATATTTCTCAATAGCATAACAGGTGAGCCAACTTTCAAAGTCAAAGAATGATTAGGTACTCCAGAACATCGCAGACCATTCAAGAATTCTGGAGTGTGCAAATCCGCTAACATATCCACGTTAGAATCTGACTTGCAAACCGAATCACAACTCAAATAAGTCCTACCATCACATGGATTATGATCATTCATGTATTGGTTAATGGTATCAACCACATCCAATGTTGGAGCCAGTATAGCACTATCCTTAAGGTATGATAAATCATCATTTGCACGCCTAAACAGAGGGAATGTGTTATCCACAATAGTAGCAATAGGATCATCTTTCCATTTTAGCAATAACTGTTCGGGAATTGTAATCACTGCTTCACCATCAACTGAATCACCAACCAATCCGTCTCCTATATCAGCTATCCAGTTTGCAAATTCTTCCACCTCGGCAGCCTCAGTCTGCGATTGTAAACTTCTTAGGCGTAGGTTTTTAGTTAACCTAAATACTCTGCATGATCTCCAAAGGTATGAGGAATTAATGCTTGCACCAACAATATCTTGGCGTGTGCCCTTTGGAATAACCGGTAGAATCTGCCTAAAATCGCCACCAAAAACGACTGTTTTACCACCAAATGTCATTTCGGAACTACTTGGATTCAGGGATCGCATCAAATCCCTCATAGTTCGGTCTAGGGCTTCAAAACAGTATTTGTGCATCATTGGAGCTTCATCCCATATTATCAACTTGCTTTGCAAAATCAGCTCAGCCAATGGTGTGCCTTGTCTTATGTTGCAAGTGGAATCTTCATTCACAGATATAGGTATTCCGAACCTAGAATGTGATGTCCTGCCACCTGGTAACAGAAGAGAAGCAATGCCGCTAGACGCAACATTTAGAACAATTTCGCCCTTACACCTTAGAGCAGATGACAATGCTCTCCACAAAAATGTCTTACCAGTACCTCCATAACCATAAACGAAGAATAACCCCCCAGCCTTGCTTTCAATATCTGTTAACACCTCATCATATATTACCTTTTGCTCATCTGTTAGTTGACTTACCAATACCTTGTTTTCTTTCTCCTGAGCAACACAATCGTATGCCAGTTCCTCTTGTATCAACCTATTTGATATTACATTATAAGTCTCAAAATTAGCAATTGGCATCTCTGGAAAGTCCATCAAACTCCTTCCCATCATTGATAACATCTTTTCAATCTCTACTAAAGCGTAGTTCATCTTCTGTGAATCACTGAGCACTAAATCTGCATTCATTTATAGTATTAAGGTACAACTTAGCTGTTATTAGTTGAGTTAAAGGACTTAATTCAATATTAAATTTAATGTCTAGTAGAACAAATACAAAGAAACTAACGTAAGAATTATGTACCTCTATTTTGCAATTGTTTACGTAGTTGGTATTGTGCATCTTCAGACAAATGCTTCCACACAGAGTTCCACACCGATTCCGGTTTCCCTATACAGTTGGTCATTAACAGTGTAACAAACAATCTCTTCAACTTATCTCCAGACGCCCAATGACTTGCTTCCTCTATTGCGTCTATATATTCTTTGTCATCATCAACTAAACCTCTAGCATAACACACATCTCGAAAGGTATCATACTGAACCCCATTCACATTTTTGATATCTGCATAAGATGTAGGACCATGCACTTTATTCAACAAACATCTTAGGTAAAAGATTTCGCCTGTGGCCGGTGGAACATAAAAAATCCTTCCGATTGAGAAACCTTTTTTCCTTGGCTGCCATTTCCTAAGGTCTTTTTTCCACACGAATTTCGTTGGCATCTCAGCATAAGTCATCTTTCTTGCCTCTGGGAATGTTTTATTAGCCTCGAACCATTCTAAGAACATACTCTGTGCTATAGTAGGTCTATTGAGAATGTTTTCAACTGGATCATCATCTGCAAAAATCACACTTTGTTGATTGGGAAGGTGAAAGCTTAGCCTTTCCACTGACGGAGCCCTAAGTTGTATATCAAAACCAAACAACCGCCACACTGCTTCACAGGGAGATATATACCTACAATCATAGTACATATTGATCTCGTCTACGGTTTTCCCAGCATCTTCAGCATTGTTAGTTTTGTAGAACTCGGTTGTTACCCTATCGTGTCCCTTATTTACATATTTGAAGAGGTACTTTATTGAGCGGGATTGGTTGCACCATTCAACATTTATATGAGCCTTGTATTTAAGCAATAAATGTCTATTGTGCGGTACAACATACCTGTTGTCTAAAGAAATGCCATTCTTTGTAATTGTCCTCCCATTTTCCCGACGTCTATATAATGGATATCCATCATCATCAAAAGTAGAACATTCAACAAACCTCTTGGGATAATGCTTTGAACATCTCCCTTTTACCATACACGGAGAATTCAACCTTGCTTTTCCACATGGACCATGCATCATAAATTCCTCAACAGCTTTGTAATATTCTACATCTGTATTTTCATTAGGTATCTCAGCTGAAATGATTGTGTCAAGGGTTCCAACTTCGCTAACTCCATTTTTTTTTTCCAAAAACAATAATATATGGCCATGCGGAAGACCTCTCTTTTGGAACTCAATCGTATATATAACTGTAGCAATAAAAGATATCATATTTAGCTATAACACATTGATTAGGTTATTAAAAGCACAGTCATGGATAATTGGTGCAAGTGATTACCTCCAGCAACTGAACCAAAAAGTTTCTTTTTTCTACAATCAGCTATCAGCGAGTCCAGCTTCATCTTGAACAACCTGCAAATTATGTCCGGACGATCCTCTGGTTTCAACATTCGGTCACGCAAGAAACGTTGCACCTCAGGCCACTTGGGGTTGCATGTAAAAGTGATAAACAAATCTGGATATCCAATCCATCTACATATAGCCATAGCATCGTGGTAATTTTGTATCATGTACCTAGCTCCACCTGTAAAGCTCGACGGTAGTATTATCCTACGTCCTTGCGTTGCCGGGTTAATTTCTCCCCTGGTTAAAGCATCTGTCAATCCACTATATGAATCACACCTTAAACTTTTTTGGTGTGTCCTTATATAAATGAGTCTACCGGACTCAACCATTGTGTATCCGTCCACAACGAATTGTTGGAACAAACGCCTGGCATGTAGAATTGTATTTACCACCGACTTTCTTGACTGTATGCGATAGCAAAAATATTCTCTCGGGCTAATCCTTTGTCTACCGCCACCACCGCTATTGCCTTTGATGTTTGAGAATGCAATATCTTCCCTATATCCATCTTCACCATACGGAAACAACAATGGATATTGAAGTGGCAAGTAGGAAGGATTTAATTCACTTATTCTTTGTAGTTGGCCACTCTTGGTTTGGACGACAATATCACGCTCACCAATATTGGTGTCAAGATCTCCAACGATCAAAGCAGCAACTTCAGACACTTCAGGTAAATTATAGGTCCTTGCATCTTTCTTGCGCTTGCCTAGCAATTTTATCTTGACTTCAGCGCATGGATTTCTATCCATTTCCTCCTTAGCCATTCGAAATGACTTTACCAAAACATTATTTGTATCCAACTCACCCTGTATGATATTCACTATTTGTATGTGGATGTCATCTTGCTCACAACCATCCCTACGTTAAAAGAATACAATAAAAAAATAATACCATGGGATTAACCAACAAAAGAAAACACAGTTATATGTAACACGGTAGTTGGTTTACCGGACAGCATTGATCCGATTGATTTGTTCATTGCTGGTGTCGTATATGTAGAGCTGGGCAAAGTGGGGTGCCTTGCCTTCTTCTGGAAGTAGACTCCCCATTAAATATGATAATTTTGTCCATTTAATCTGAATACAGGAGGTCCGCCACCCCTATTGACACTCCTGTCAATTCTTCCACCCATTGATGTGAAGCAAAACATGTTGTTGTACGTCCTGACTTGCTGTAGGAACTTTCTAGAGAATTCACAGTTGCCGAAAAAAAGATCGCTGATACCTTTTGGTGGCGGTGGCAGTGCAGGTAACGTAATCTTACCATTGTTGCAGCACATGGAGAACTTAGGTGATCCCTTGATAACTGTTTTATTTTGTCTCTCCTCAAACCAAAATAAGGCACCACAATATTCGCAACTACTTGTGGCATCACCCAGATCAGAGTACTCGACTACATTACATGATTTAGTTATTAGGCGATGAAAAGTATGCACTGCAAACAAAAATATTTAATTTTACTACGTACCATGACAAACCGTAGATGTTGTAGCAATGTCTTTATGAAGTAGTTCGTCCACAACATTCCCCACCAAATTTGTAGTTACAGTAGTTTCGTTTATCGACGTGAGGCAAACTGATAGTAAAAAATTTTAAATATCATTGATTTATACCTATCATAAACGACTTGAACAAAAGCATAATGGTCACGTTAGGAAAAATTATTAACTCCATTCCTCTAAATTTATTTTGTGGTAATTTATAAAGTAGTTGAACGACGTAGTTCTTACCACAATAAAATTATAACAAATATGTACTGATTATACTCGGTAATTGCCTTTAAAAAATAGGGCACTTAATCTCGAAATACTGAATTACTTTAGCTAAAGTCTAATAACTAAGTTTTGAAAATCGTTAATTCGACAGCTAAAACAATACCAACAAATAAAGTAATTACCTGTTGCAGCATTTTGTGTTGTAAGAACAGGTTCTAGCCTTGCTTCTTCTTCAAATGCAGATAGCAAGTCTCTGTTTACGTAATCTGGTTGTTGAGCCTTACCAGGATTAATACGGTTGATTAGTTGCTCATGTTTACTACACTGATTCGATATGTTTCCTAACGGTTGTCGGATTGCTTCTTTCTCTTGTGCGCTACCACCTACAATAAATGTTTGAAGCAAATTAACTACAGTGAGACATCAACAAATGGAGAGGTATACTTGGTTCAGTTGCATAGGGAATTACCAGTTAATATAGTTGTTGGTACGGATGATCTTGATCCTTGTAAGTCCCCCAAAATAAAAACATTTGAATTGTTTGAGCCCAATTTTTTTTATGTTCTGTCCACTGAAGTGTATATTGCAAGTACCTTTATTACACATAAATAATAATATACATTAAAAAAAAACAATGAATGGACAAAGACAAAAGAAAAACAACTACCAAAATAATTATATAAGGATAGTTGCCAAGAACAAAAATAAGATTGCAATAGTATAACTATTTTTACCGTAAGTTATGTTACTCAATGGTGTAATTTCTGGAGTAAAACACACTCCATTGGCATATCTTGACTGGATACTTGAAGTAGGTAAGTTAGTCCTACGACCATCAGTACTTGTTGATGATGAATTCTCCAAATTCTCTGAATTATATGTAAGTCAAGATAAGTAATTAGCGAACAATTATACAACCCATAATGTCATAGACAAAATATCATCAGAATGACCATTAATTAAGTGATTGTGGTCCACATTACTGTGCGCACCATAACAACTAATCTACACATTGTACACAGTAATGTGTATATACTTGATAAGTATATAAATAAAAATGATTTAAAGTACATTTATAATAACATAATGTTCAATTATTTTATACACTATGCCATTAGTGAACGAATAGTATAACTTTAATCATCTTGAATTATTAGAGAAATAAAATTTCCAAAAAAAAAAATTGATCAGTCCACATAGCATATAACAATGAGTAGACAATAGTACTAAATAAATAGGTAAGTGATATATATAAGTTAAAATAACATTTATTTCTAGCATGGAGATATAGTCTGACCCATTAACTTGAAGCCCAGCCCAATACACTAAACCGGTCCACTAACCCGACCCGTTAGCCCCCATATAAAACCCCCGCCAAACCTAATCAGTTTAGCCCTACCCGACGCTTCGCATTCCTCCCCCTCTCTCTCACCCAGCTCCGTGTGTCTAGCACTCTGTCCGCAATCTTGGCACGAAGCATTTTCATAGCTTCGATTGTTCTAACACAGTATGTTCTAGACACTTGTGCGAAGCTTGTTCATCACACGGTCTCGATTTTAAACTGTATTATTCGGTTTATGTGTTTAAGCAACGAATCTACGAATCTTCACCCAATTTTAGAGCTATGTTGTTCTTGTAGCGAAAACCTACAATGTTTCGTCATCTCAGCTGTTCGGAATTCGTTGGATTTGGAGGTCCTCGCCCAAAACCCTAAAAGCTAAGTAACTCTCCAATTTTGTATAATTTTTGTACGATTATGCCGTTTATGTTGAGTTGTTAAGAATTTTGGTTATGAATGTTTTTATAATTTATGTTTTGTGTTTGACTTAGCTTACTATATTGTAGTTCAATGAATTGGGGCAGAATTTTAGACATTTGTGTGTATGTTATTGCGATTCTGTTATTGTATAATAATAAGTCAAGAACCCTAACTGCCTGTGTACATTAGTATGTCAGTTCTTCAAGATTTTTTGGCAATTTGCTTCTATCTGTCCATACATATAATTTAATTTTCGAATTACAGGTACTCATTGTTCACCAGTCTACCTAGAATTTGGATAACTATTTACAAAATAGTTAAGGTAAACTTCCAAAACATTTTCTGTAGAAATTGTGAAATATTTATAAATTGTTTAGCAGTTATCATGTAAAAATGACAATTTTACATTAAGTTACTACGCTTTGAATTTCAGGGTTTCAGTTCTCAACACTGATGTTTAGATATACAAATGGAAGTAAAGCATTCATCAGGGAAGGTAAACAGGTATAAATTTGGGCAGTAAAGTAGAAGAATTGAGGTAAACTTAAACTTAAAATGCTGTATGCATCTATGTTACCTTTGTTGTCGATTCTATGTTTCCTTTTGCTCCCTATGATTGTAGAAGCAAGTATTTTCCTCATTTCCAATTGTGTGTTGTGATTGCATCAGTGGTATGTTTCACTGCTATCACTTGAAGTATTTATTGGATGTTTATAATTAATGTGTTATACAGAAATCATAATGATTGAAAATAATGAAGCCTGACTGTTCATTTCTTCTTTTTTTTTTTTGGGAAAACAACAACAAAATGTACTTTTTGTGTAATTTAATACACATGTTCCAAGTTAGTTTTTGTTTTTAAATATTTGTATAGTGGTCACTAACAGTATTTTTAAGCCTTTGGCAAATGATGAAGATTTTTTTCTGATGCCATTATTTCAAATTCTATTGCAATCAATAGGAAATGTCAAAAAGTCATTTCTTATGTCAGACATTTAGCTAAATTATGTTAAAAAAGTTGGCTGCAAATTATATTACATATTGTAATTTTAAAAGTGAACACCAGTAATGTAGTGTTTATTTTTTGTTTTTGAAATCGAACTGCTGTCTAAAGATTTAAGTGATTTGATCTTTTTTTTTTTTTTGGCCAGTTTTATGATACTGGTCACCCATGAGTAATGATGTAAAGCCTTTATTGATTATTTCTCATGTTTTTACCATCATTTTTGTATAGAGAAACTGCACCAATGATGTCTTCTGAATTGTTCAGCTCAAATTTGTGAAATTGTTAATTTTACATTCTTAGATCTATTGTAACTTGGAAATCATTACTGGTGTAATAGTAGAGTTCAGTCATTGTAAATAAGATTTCTGAAAGCTCTTTGTACTATATTATCTAAGTGTAGTCATCTTTAAAGGTGTTTAGTTCCCACATTTTTTTCAAGGTTGTATAAGTGTTCATTTATTATAATACAGCCTTAAAATTACCACACTACAATCCCAAGTTTTATAAACTGTAATAATTCATTTTAAATTAAGCCGTAACATTACCACCTGGCTATTGTTCTCAAAACTCAACTAAATATCTATCAACTCACTTCCATGTAATAATATTTTTTAAAACCAAATGGACATAAAATAAGAATAACTACTTTGATGCTTTTAGTTACAATCCAGCCCCATTTTTTTTTTCTTTAAAGTCTTATAATTTTAATCGGTAAACTGAAATTTGATGTCAAGTTTGAATAGTTTTACCTGATCTGTTTTGCAAATACACAGTCCATTTAAAATGATTTTGTCATAAATTCAGACAATTTTGGGGATTGTTTTTAAAACCAAATGGACATAAAAGAAGAATAACTACTTTGATGCTTTTATTATTTACAATCCAGCCCCATTTTTTTACTTTAAAGTCTTAAAATTTTAATCGGTAAACTGATATTTGATGCCCAGTTTGAATAGTTTTTTACCTGATCTGTTTTGCAAATTCACAGTCCATTTACAATGATTTTGTCATAAATTCAGTCTATTTTGTGGATTGTTAATGTTTGCAAGTTATATGTTATATGTTAGTTAGCCTGAAAATTGTGTCAATTATAGTGTTAGCTTATCTGTTTGCAAGCACAAAAGTCAAGTTCCAATGCTTTTGTCCTATGTGCAGTCAATTTTTGGGATTGTGATTGGTGAGGTGTTGCTATATGTGTACTGTTTGTTTATTATATAGGCCTAATACAGGAAAAACATACTATAGAGAACACAATGTGATTAAAACCCAACTTAGATTATATGCTATAGTATTTAATTCTCACAAAAATAGACATGTATCACATAGCAAGAATCATTCTAAGTACTATAATCTATACATAGTCTTTATCATTCTAATTACTAACATCTAAGTTGTTTGTCTTCAAGCAAGTCTAGATGCTGATCTCATTGTAAATCAGCAATCTTGCCATAGCCACCATTGTAGTCAACAACCTGTTAAAATTGTTAAATAGGAAAAACAAAAAGATCTACTAATAGCAACACATTAAAACATACCAAAAAACATACCAATAGTAAGCATCAATAGTATCCTTAAGTAATTATGTTATATAATTAGTAGAAATTAAAACATACCAAAAAACAATAATAAGCACCAAAATAGCCCAGAATAATTATCAGTTTAACCAAACAGAGTCAAGAAAATGTTTAGTGCAATGCAGAAATAAAAAAGAAATCAAAACAGCTCAGAGGCTTAAAGTATTGTCCAGATGTGTTTTTGAAACAATTCAGTTCATCTTCTCCTTCTTAATGCTACCACCCTTTGACCTTTTGCTCCCTTTTGAGGATGAAAACTGATCCAGCAATGACCTCTTAGTAGTAGGAGAATCAGCTTGAGCATTAACTTGGGATTCTGATGGCCTTGTGTTAGCAGGACTATTGACCTCTTCTTCTTTAGAGGCTTCCTGCAAAACAAATTGTTTAACAAAAAATTAGAAATTACTTAACGAATTTAAGTAAAAGATAGGATTTAGTTAAACACAAATCACCTCAGAATGTTGAGAAGTGTTCTCATCCTCTTCTATTTGCTGTGACATTAGGTCTTTTTCTTCATCTTCAAATAATCTGGAACAATAAGCATCTAACAACTGCTCGTCCCTTAGAACCCTCATCACATTGTAAGCTGGATTATTGCCTTTCATCATAGCTCTTTTAATCCCCACTTTAAAAATCATTTTTAAACCAATCACCACCTCAATCTCAGTGGGGATGTCAACATCAGCCTGACAAGTAATACGATTAGTACAAAAAAAAAAGTAATAGAAATTTTAGAAGGCTTATACAATTGGTAGAAGCAAAAGAAGTACCTTTTTGTACTTCTCATACAACAGAGTAGCAGGAATGCCAACTAATTCTGCAACTTCCCTATCCCAGAGCAGGAAAGTTGCATCTGTGGTTTTGTCTAAGACTCTCACCAAAAGCTTATACCTAGCAGTACCTTCCTCAAATTGTTTTACACACTTGTCACAGTTTAAGACCCCTTCGATTGGTTTAAGCTTCCTGTTACAGCCAGGTGTCAGGCATGCCATGTAGTACCAATCGTCTGTAGAAGACTCTATTGCCATAATTTCACCAGGAATATAGTAATCACCATCCTGAAAAAATAGTTACAAAAAGTATGTTTAACACCACAACTTAGATTTGTAAGAAAGCTTGTTAATATGTAATTAACAACCTGCAGCTTAGATAGATCAAAGATTGTAGACACAATCCTTTCACCCTTTTGGAAACTCTCAATCCCTGTGGACTAGGATTTCAGAGTCACAGTGCTCAGACTTTTAATTGGAGTCTCTTGAACTTTTAACCTGCAAAAACCAATCAGAATTTGAATTAGTAAATGAGACTCATTTAGACCTCATTCATGGCAGGAAGTTTATGCATTAAATAGACTTACTGAGATTTGAAGTCCTTGAACTCATCAAAATCACCATTCACCCAAATCTTAGTTGCATCATACGATGATGTTATTCTGACCTCACCTAAAAACAACACACATAGAAAAAACATAGCATTGGTGTCTATTGCATAAAATAGAGGAGGACAGTATAAGTTTCAAAGACTCACCACTAACAACCTTGGCCCTACAACATTGAATAGCTACAATCAGTGGTTCATTTGAACTTGAATTGTAGTAGGGCAGTAGAGACTCAACATGAGAATCCCACAAGGTACACATCAAGTAGTTATCACTGTTTTTGGTAGGTAGAAAAGGAAAATAATTAAATATAATAAACAGAAAAGGAAATTATGAAGTGGAATCAATAAAGAAACAGTAAAACTAAAGGAAATAAGCAATATGAAAGTCAATTTAGATTCATAAGAAAATCTGAAAGGAAATATGCAATCTTGTAATGGAACAAATAAACAAAAAATATAAAACTTACGCATTATCACAGATTTGAAAGTCAATCAGTTTTGTGGCTTTACCACCCACAATCTTGTCTACAGGGTTATATATCTCCACCACACGACCTATAACATCTGAAATATATTTAAAGAATATAAGCGGTCATTATATGCCTAAGCAGTTGTATTAGTAATAGTACAATTAGGATTTTACCAATGAGCTCCTTGTCATTAACTGCCTTGGGATCTTTCAAAGACTCAAAACTTGTAAGCCGAAACATAAAAAGTGGAAAGCCTATAGAGTTGATCTGTTTGACTTCTGTTTTGTAATTAAACTTGAGCATATAGTTATTCTGGGTGACCTTGTAAAGGTAATAGTTTGTAACAGCATAGAAGTTCTTTATCTCATACAGTTGGCCTTCTTTTAGCACATCTTTGTATTTGACAACATCTTTATTCTGAATAGTAGCATGTATATAATCTCCCTGTACAGAAATTTTAATACAGTGTGCTTAAAATATGACCTTGTAATTGATATAGAAATTTAGATTGAATCATGCATCTGTTTTACAAAACTATTGCTGGTTTACAGTGAACATGTAAACATGCTTCTTTTTGCAAATGTATTTAGTAAAAAAATATAGAAGCTATACATGTACAGGAATGGTATATATATAGAAGCATGCTTCTGTTTGCAAATTTAGTCAATAAAAAAATATAGAACCTATACATGTATAGGAATGCTATAGGATGCCAGTTGGTTGACAAAATTTAAAATAATCCCTGACTTTTACAAATAGGAATGCTATATATATGGGAAAATGCTTCTGCTTTGCAAATGTAGTTACTAACAAATTATAGAAGCTATGCATGTATAGGTATCATATAGGATGGCAGTTGCTATAGAAGTGTACCTGATCATCATGGAGAAGACACTCCATACTCTTGATGTTACTACCTACCCTCCTCTCAGGCACATCATAGATCTGTACACAACGTACTCTAATTCCCCTTTGCTTGTGGACAGGATGGATATCTTTGATTGGAATGAACAGGGAAGGCATTGTACTACTATTTCGAAGAAGAACAGTGATGTGCAGGGTTTAGGGATGAATCAAATGGACATCAAAATCTGGAGGTAGCCTTTTATAGGCAACAATCAGATTTTGAATTACACCTCTCGAAGAGTTTTCATGATGATCAAGCCTTGGAACACCAACAATGCATTAAATGCTGGTGTTGGTTTAAGTTTAAATTATATAAGTTTTAGTTATGTAAATAATTTTCGTCTTTATTATATATCACCAGCATGGATTGTAAATATATATAGACATTTCAGTAGTGGTCTACTATTAAAAGTAAAAACCATTCGAATCCTCAGATATTTTCTGCATTGGTAAGGTAAAAAGTAGTATTTAATATATTGTTTGGAATCTGTACATGAATAAAGCCCACATTAAATAGCCGAATTTTTGTGAGACAGCGCAGCAAACTACATCGTATACAGTGAGCGGTAAAATGCAATAGACAACAACATAGGGGTAAAACGACGTCGTATTCATTTGGGCGGGATAAATTTTTAGGCAGCAAATTGTTGTTTTATTATAGAGTTAGATTAGATAAGGAATGGTATATAGTTCCATCAATCCTATTTGTAATCGCTTCAGATAAGATAAATGAACTTCTTTATTTAAAAAAAAAAAAAAATTGTTAAATATCTTTTCTACAAATTATTAATACAATTTGTTGATTAAAATCACTTCGCCTAATACAATTCACTATTCACTAACTGTTAATACAATCTGCTCACTGCAAATTACCGAACTAAGGACAATTTTGAGCAACACAATCAGTTAGAGCTGCCGGAATATTTTTAGTTCAGACCGGAGCAGCCATTGCATAATTGCATTGCTAAATGCTCCCGCCAAAATCAAGTCTCCCGCGGAATTTCCGACGTCTCGTTAGCTTCCGTACCGAGGTCTCGTCTCCTCCTCCGCCGGCGAAGCCTCCTCGCCTCTCTCTCCTTGCGGACCATTGCACCTCAATGGACCAACTGAAGCAAATCCACGCCCAAATGATCATCACCGGCCGTATCCACGACAACTACGCCGCCAGCCGCATATTCTCCTTCGCCGCTCTTTCTCTCGCCGGCGACCTTACTTACGCGTTGGAACTTTTCGGTAGCATCCGGCAGCCCAACACATTCATGTGGAACACCCTAATTAGAGCCCAAGCGAGTAGCTCAAAACCACAAGAAGCCTTGTTTCTCTACGTGAAGATGCGCAGGCTCTGCGTTGTTCCTGGTAAACACACGTTCCCTTTTTTACTCAAAGCTTGCTCCAGCTTAAAGCGATTTGACGTTATTCAACAAGTCCACACCCATGTTTTCAAGTTCGGGTTGGATTTAGATTTACATGTGGTCAATGGACTGATCAGGGCGTTCTCTGTTTCCGCTGCCTTGAACAGTGCCCGTAAACTGTTCGACGAATTTCCTGAGAGAAACTTAACGATATGGACGACAATGGTGTGTGGGTATGCTCAGAATGCCAGTCCGGATGAAGCAATTAAATTGTTCAAACGAATGATTGCAGATGGGGTGGAGCCAAATGCCGCCACTCTAGCCTCCGTGCTATCAGCTTGTGCACAAGCCAGCTGCTTAGAATTAGGGCAACAGATTCATGTATACATGGAGGGGAAAGATATAGGAATGGGAGTGATCCTAGGAACAGCATTAGTAAACATGTATGCCAAGAACGGAGCAATAACGGAAGCCACAAAGTTCTTCAGTAGCATGAAGGAGAAGAACATTGCAACTTGGAACGCGATAATCGGTGGCTTGGCAGCTCACGGGCACGCAAAAGAAGCAATCCACTTATTCAACAATCTAGTGGAATCAGAAGGAAATGTGAAGCCAAATGATGTTACATTGTTAGGGGTTTTATCTGCCTGCTGCCATGCCGGATTCCTAGACTATGGCCGCCAAGTTTTCAACTCCATGAAAAACTTGTATGGCATAGAGCCCAAGATAGAGCATTATGGCTGCATGGTGGACCTTCTAGGGCGATGCGGGGAGCTGTTAGAAGCGGAGCAGCTGATACGAGGAATGGTTTGGAAGGCGGACGTGGCTATTTGGGGATCCCTGTTAAGATCGTGTCAGAGCCAAGGGAATATAGATGTAGCGGAACGAGTGGTGAAAGAGATCCTTGTTTTGGATCCCAACAATCATGGAGTTTATGTTGGTTTGTCCAATGTGTATGCGGAGTTAGGAAGATGGGAGGATGTGTTGCAACTAAGGAAGGAAATGAAACAAGGGAGTCTAAAGAAAACACCTGGGTGGAGCTATGTAAATACGAAATAGATAAGCCTTGCTTAATGAATTTTGCCAAAGGGTCAAATAAACCCTTAAAATATACTCAATTGGGCAATTAGCCCCTCAGAAATCACTATATGTACTCCCAAATTTTACTCTCACTATTAAATTTTGATGTAAATATTTCTCTTGGGATCCACATGATAACAATAGCCTATCATTGTCGGCTGAGAGTAGAATTTAAGAGTACATGTAGTAAAACTTTTAGCCCCTCAATTTATAAAAAGCTCCAACCCGGAGGTTGTGGTTGAATGAAAGATACTCATCCATTCTTAATCGAACGTTAAGGGCTCAATTCTTGAATTTGAATATAGAGCAACCTTAAATCTCCAAGCCAATTATCCCACTCTTATCCAATAGAAGAGAGGCCGGCCAACTGTCCCACTCCTACCAGGGACGGAGTTAGTGTGGAGGCAGCTGCCCTCACTCCCCTCACCCACCCATTTATATATATGTATGTATATATATATACATATATATCATTAAATATTATATAAAATCTATATTTATGTTTAAAGTATTAATAATTTGAATTTGAATAGCTTAGTTGATATTATGAATTGTACCTATGGTCATAAGCTCAAATCTCATTAACAACATTTTTTCTTATCTTTTGTTTATTTTATCACTTCCCATCCTTCCCAAGATATATTAAATATTTTTTAGTTTACTTTTATAAATCATTTATTTAACAAATTAAATGCTCTTTTATTCTACTTTTTATGAATCAATTATTTTTTTTTTTTTGAAACAAACAACCAAACTTCATTAATGATCAAGTAAACGAACGATACAGACCGGCGGGATAAAGTCTCACTCCCCCGAGACAGATTCAGAAACGGTTGCCCGAGCAAGCTCATGAGCCACGCGGTTCACTGTTCTCTTGATATGGGCCACTCTAATAGTCCCTATATCATTAGCAATCGACAGACATTGCTTTACAATTAAGCCTACATATGAAAAGTCAACATTGCGGGAATTAAAAGCATTACAAAAATTTAAACAATCAGACTCAATGACGTAATTTATTCGATTTCGATCCTTAATCCAGGTTAAGGCTTCTTTGGCTGCAAGAACCTCGGCCATGAATGGGTCATTTACCCCCTCGAACCAGCCACTCTTCGCTGCAATAAAACTCCCAGTGTGGTCCCGTATGACGGCGGCAAAGCTCGCCCCTTCCGCGAACAGAGCTGCGTCAATGTTACACTTAAGAGTGCCTTCACTTGGCGGACTCCAGATTCCAGCATAAGCTGTAGTTGTAGTCACACGCGGTGCTTTAGTATAAGCTACTGCCCAGGTTTCTTGAAGAGATTGCACCCGTGCATGGGCTTCCCTTACCGTGACTGACTTGTTATTCCATATCACCTCATTCCGAAGTCTCCATATAGTCCAGAACACGGCTGCCAGTTTAACAGCTGCAAACGTGGGAGAATTACCTATCGTGAACTCCATGAACGCCAACAATTGTTTCCCTTGCAAGACATCGTCCGCTTCCCACACATTACTCGCGAAAACACATTCACCGAACAAGTGTTGAGCTGTTTCCGTGGCGTGGCCACACATAGGACATCCACCGCCGACCCAGACCTGCTTGCGACGTAGATTATCCCGAACTGGTAAGACATCCCTAGCACAGCGCCATAAGAAATTTTTCACGGATGGAGGAATAGGCAGCGTCTACAAATGCTTCCAAGCCCGAAATTCTCCTTGATCAACATGCTGCCACATATTACCTGTTAGGAGTTGATAGCCATGCCGAACCGTGTACCTGCCTCTGATGTCACCGACCCACCTCCAAGTATCCTTGTATAGCTTATTAATTGGAGTAGCAAGAATGCGATGTACATCCTCGCCCACAAATAAATCTCGGACAATATCACGATCCCACTGCCCCTGATGATCAAGTAAACCCCCAACTCTTGCTTCTTGCAAATATTCGACGCTCGGGGTGTGTAGAGGTGAATTGTTCCGGTCTGCCAACCAGTTCCAACCCCATATTTTTGTGTCCATTCCGTCACCAATACGTCTTGTAATGCCCAAACGTAACACCTGTTGTCCAGCCATTATGCTTCTCCAAATAAAGCTGGGGCTGCCGCCCAATTGTGCCCCCATGAAATCCGGTGTGGGATAGTACTTAGCTTTTAAAAGTCGGCTAACCAATGAGTCCGGTTGAATGAGCAATCGCCAGCCTTGCTTGGCCAGCAGCGCCAAATTGAATTCGTGAAGCTTCTTAAAGCCAAGACCGCCCTCAGATTTCGGTGCACACATCCGCGCCCAACTCAGCCAATGAATGCCACGGCTCCCCGTATCGCCGCCTCCCCACCAGAACCGGTTGAACATTTTTTCTAACGTGTCACACACACGTAACGGGAGTAAGAAAGATGACATTGTAAAGATAGGAAGGGCTTGTGCAATACTCTTGAGGAGGACCTCTTTACCTGCACGAGACAAAAGTTTATGTGTCCATAATCCCATTCGGGTTCGTATGTTTTCCTCGATGTATTTGAATGTTGCTGTTTTGCTCCGTCCCAAAACTGATGGGAGCCCCAGATAACGACCCAAGTCGCGTGCAGCTTGGACCCCCAAACATTCACTAACCATCTCTCTGGCCTGGGTTGTCGTGTTCAAGCTGTAAACTGCACTGGACTTCTCATAATTAATGAGTTGTCCCGAAGCCAAGCAGTATAGGTCCAGACAGCCTTTAATTCGCAAGGCTTCCTGTTGGGTTGCCCTGAAAAACAGCAAGCTTTCGTCAGCGAAAAAAAGATGCGAAATGGCCGGGGCTCCCCGGGCCACTCTCACACCATGAATCTCCCCACGGGCCTCTGCTTGTTGAAGAAGAATAGAAGACCCTCTGCACACAAAATAAACAGGTAGGGCGACAACGGGTCTCCCTGGCGAATCCCTCGAGAAGGACACACCTGGCCCACCCCTTCCCCATTGACCAACACAACATAATTCACAGATTGCACGCACAACATGATTAAATCCGCCCAACGACTGCCAAACCCCAAAGCCCCCAACATCCCTTCCAAAAACGACCACTCCATACAGTCGTACGCTTTAGCCATGTCTAGCTTTAGCGCCGCCCATCCCATAATACCCCCAGTTTTCCTTCGCAGGTAATGTCCAATTTCACTGGCCACTATAATGTTATCAGTGAGAAGTCTCTCAGGGACAAACGCACTTTGCGATTGTGACACTATCTGGCCCAAACAACTCTTTAGCCTGTTGGCTAACATTTTAGCCAGCACTTTGTAAACCACGTTACAAAGTGCGATTGGCCGTAAATCAGCAACCCTTTCTGGGATCTTCTTCTTAGGGATTAGGACAATATTGGAGTCGTTTAGACCCGGTGGGAAGCTGTTAGTTTCGACACAATTAATTATAAAGACAGCAAGATCATAGCCTAGAATCGGCCAAAAATGTTGGAAAAAGGCCGGTGATAGCCCGTCTGGGCCAGGTGCTTTGTCAGGAGCCATATCAAACAGAGCGGCTTTAACGTCCGTTATATTAAACGGTTGTAAAAGGCAAGCATTCATCTCAGCCGTCACAGTTTGACAGACATTGGCGAAAAGAGCTGAAGAACTATGCTCCGAACAAAAAATATTATCATAATACCTTATAACTTTCGAATGCATTGCCGAGCCCTCCACCCAATCACCCGACTGATTCTTAATCCGAGTGAGGGTATTACGTTTGTGCCGAATTGTAGCTGCCTTATGGAAGTACTTCGTATTCGCGTCACCCTACTTTAGCCACAGTTGTTTTGACCTCTGTTTCCAGAATATTTCTTCTGCCCGACTAAGCCCTTCTAATTCACTCTCGGCTGCTTTGAATTCTTCCAAACCAGCTTGAGTTCGGTCCTCCTTTAATCTGGACAAAGTGCGACGCAAGCTCCTAATCCGGTTTCCGAATTGCCGATAATGCTCCCCTCCCCACTTCCATAATTTGTCCCCACAAACCGCCAAACGCTCCTGGAAATTCTGCCCAGTAGATAACCGCCATGCTTCATCAACGACTCGTGCACATCCATCCTCCAGAAGCCAAGCTGATTCGAACTTAAACTTACGCATAGCCGTACGCACAGGGCGTGTTTCCACGTCAACAGCAATCGCGCAGTGATCCGAGGATCGCATATAAACATTATGGACCTGAGCGCTGTCGTATATATCCATCCAATCCACAGTTGCCACAGCCCTATCAAGCCGTTCCTCCACCCATGCGTCCGTACCTCGGCCTTTGACTTAAGTAAAATCTCCCCCCAGCATTCCCAGATCATGGAGTTGACAATCTCCGAGAGCGTCATTAAAGCCTTCAATAAGAGCTGCAGGATGTGAATGAACCCCTCTTTTTCTCGATAAACACGCTATATCGTTGAAATCACCTACTACGAGCCAAGGGAGCGTAGATTGATCCTTTAAATGACGTAGGAGATCCCACGTAACCTGACGTTGTGTTCTATCCGGCTCACCATAAAAACAAGTAAGTCTCCATGTTGGTTTCCCTGGAATCGTTATTTCCATATCTATGTGGTTAATGGAATAACTTAACAGGGATGCAACATTCGAGTCCCGCCAGAACAGCGCCAGCCCGCCACCGAAGCCAACTCGATCCACACAGAACGCCCCTTCAAATCCCAGCTGTACTCGCACTTCCTCAACCCGACTACTATACGCTTTCGTCTCCATCAAGAAGACGAATAAGGGTCGCTGTTGGGACACAATGCCCAACAATTCTCGAACTGTTCGGGTGCCACCCAAACCCCGGCAGTTCCAACTAATGAGACTCATTGTGCTGGGCGAGCCTGGTCTGCCAGACTCGCCATCTCCGAGTTTTTTGTCGGTTCTGTCATGTGTACATCGTCCTCCTGTGTATTCTCCGTCTGAGTAGTGTCCTCACGTCGCCGTTTGAGTTCACCCTGTAAACCACCATGGCCACTAAAGCAGCCGGGGGCGGTCCACCTTCCTGGGAATCGGACACCACCGCCGATTGAGTCAGCGACGGCAATAACCATCGAGCCCCGATCTGTCTCGGCTGTCGTCTCGGACCCGCCCTCAACCACGCTCCAAACGGAAAAGCTTCGGGCAGAATCCCCTGATTATACACCACTCTGCAAAACTTCTCCGAATGCCCTAGGATCCCACAGCAATAGCAGAAGGTACCCAGGCGCTCATATCGGAATAGAATCCACTGAGACGACCCATCCCGGCGCAGGAGCTTCATCCGCCTCTTTAGCGGTGTCGCAATTGGCATACGCACCCTAACTCTGTAGTAGCTCTTCCACAAACCTCCGAAATTGAAAGGATCTGCGGCAATAAACGTCCCGATGTAGTCCCCAATTTTCGTCACAAATTCCTGTGTCGCATGGATTGCGGGCAGCCCATGAACCTGAACCCAGAACGGGATCGAATCGAGCGTCACGTCCTCCAGCGAGGTACCCGGCGGCACTTGTTCGCAGACAAGCAATTGATTATCGAAAGACCATGGGCCATCATCGATTATACGTTGCATATCCCTCGGATGCGGAAATTGGAACAGAAACAAGTCGTCGGCGAGGGCCACCACAACCATCCCCATTACCGGTCTCCACACAGCAGCCATTACCTGTTGCATGTGATCGGCCTTGATTAGGCGATCAGTGAGAAATCGGCCCACAAGGTTATACCGGATTGCGTCGTCTGGTGCCGGAAGCAATTCTGGTGCTGCAAATCCCCCCGTCTCCTCCTCCGTGAGCGACAAAGCTGCGCACTGCTGCTCAAGCGATCGTGCGTCCATATCGAATTCAGCGATCAGATTCAAGATTAATGACAAAATTATGCCTATGCAAGATAACGATTGAGATGCCATCGGAAAACAAGCAGGATATAAAGCCCTAGAAACCTAGGGAGAAACACTCTCTGAACACGATCAGAGAGAGGGCCACGTCCGACAAGATTGATCGGCGAACACGATCAGATCACGATCATAGATTGCGGAAAGTGCGGAGCAATTTCTCCTCCTATGAGGATTGAAAAAGTTTATGAATCAATGATCATCGATGACGTCTCCCTTGTGAACTTCTTCTGCAAAAGGTGATAGTTGTCACCTCCTTCAGGGTGGGAGGAGGCAGTAACTTTTTGGCCTCTTAGGTCTGTCGAATTTTTACAGATAGTTAGGTTGAGATTGATTCTTATTTCTCTTCTATAGTATTGTTCTTACACAGGATCCTTAATTATATAGTGAAAGGTTCCAGTGCGGTTGAGTGCTGCCCGTGTGGTTGATTAATGTGCGTGACCTTTGTACTTAATATGCGTGAGTCTTGTGCTTAATGTATCTGAGCTTTGTACTTAATGTGCGTGAGTGTGTAATGTTAATATGCGTGAGTTTTGTACTTAATGTGCCTGAGTCTTGTGTTTAATGTGCCTGAGATTTGTACTTAATGTGCGTGAGTGTGTAATGTTAATGTGCTCCTGTTGCTCCTGTACATATACGTCTTCGTCTTCTCTTCCTCTCTTTTCCCTTAATCCTCTCTTCCTCTCTCTCTGTTCTTCTTCATATACGTCTTCGTCTACGTCTTCGTCTTCTCTTCCTATTCCCTTAATCCTCTCTTCCCCTCTCTCTGTTCTTCATCATATACGTCTTCGTCTTCTCTTCCTATTCCCTTAATCCCCTCTTCCCCTCTCTCTGTTCTTCATCATATACGTCTTCGTCTGACTTTTGCGTTTAATGTGTGTGAGTTTGTGGTCTGAATGTATTTTGTTTATAGCTTCTTGTGCGATTGTGTTAAAAGTCACGCACATTAAGCACAAACCTCTCGCACATTAAACACACAATAATCATGCACATTAAGTACAAAACCCACGCACATTAACATTACACACTCACGCACATTAAGTACAAATCTCAGGCACATTAAGCACAAGACTCACGTACATTAAGTATAAAACTCACGCACATTAATCAACCGCACGGGAAGCCACAAATGCACCTGATCCCTTATATATATATATATATATATATATATATATATATATATATATATATATATATATATATATATATATATATATATATATATATATATATATATATATGGGAGATCAAGTGCAGTCATGTTGTTAGGGGTGGTCATATGGTCAATTACAGGCCATTAGATTAGATAGATCCAATGAATCACATTAATCAAGATTCTTCTAGTATTTTCGCGCATATTCTCCTACCCAACGAACTGCAAGGGTAAACTCGTCATAGGGCACCGGAATAGGAAAAATCACATTGTTGTGTGTTTTATTTGTGTAATTGGTGCATTATTAGCCTTACTCTGGTGTATTTGTAGATTCTCATGGGTGCCAAGTCAGGTGCGGCAACGCCTTCCCGTGTGGTCAGTGCAGCTGCACCAATTGTTATACAAATATACACCATCCATGTTATGAAATGCACAGCAAAAAACATACACAAATTAGGTACCCATCACCAAAAACGCGACATTAGATATGAATAAATACACCATACAGTGTTTGGGAATACACTATTGGTGTGTTTCACTGTGGTGTGTTTTATTACACTATTGGTGCATGTTGTCAACACTGTTGGTGTATTTCTGGAACCCGGCCGCTATAAATGGCCATTGTAATTACCACAACACCCCCACTTACCAAAATGCGCTAAAATCCTCAAATCCTCATAATTAGCCACTGCTGTTAGATTAAACTGACTCAACGACCACACCGCCACACCTAATGACATGACCACATATGAGCTCTTATATATATATATATATATATATATATATATATATATATATATATATATATATATATATATATATATATATATATATATATATATATATATATATATATATACATTCAGGTAAAAACACATCTTAAAATACAAACCTATGGACAATTTGACGTCGTTGGATGGTGGTATTGGACGGTCCTGATTTTTTCCTCCTACGCGTTGTGTGCATGTAAGTACGTTAATGTGTGCACGAGCTTTGATGGATGGTTGTGATTATATATATATATATATATATATATATATATATATATATATGAAATTGAACAAGTCCCCCTATAAAAAGTGAGGACTGATCACAGTTGCCATCAGGGTTGAGAGCTTTAAGTTTTAAAAATATAGGGTACATTTTATAATTAATGTAAAGTTTCAAGTTTGCAATTTTATAAAATTAACTCACTCATTTTTCTTTTATTTTTCAACAACTTTCAACCGTTGATCAACCAAAACAGATGGATTAGATTAGTTATCACTTTTTAAATGGAGCATGTACCCCAACCATACACACATACTCTCTCTGTCCCATTTTGTTTGTTTGGTCCGGTTAACGAGGTCTGACTGGAGTTATTTTTAATTCAAAATTTCATGATATGAAGTTTAGTATTAGTATATGAAAGAGTTAATTCTCAAAAATGGTCCTCTAACTATGGTTTTTTTCTCAAATTGGTCCCTTGACTTTTAATTTTTTAAAGTGGTCCTCCGACTTTTGAATTTTAAATGGTCATCCGTTAGCTTTGGCGTTAAATTGGTGTTAAAATGAAGGGTAAAACTGAAAATTTAGGTTTTGCACTCTAACTTAAAGCAATCTGTGATTCCTTTTTAGCAGTCTGCGCACATATTTTTTCAAATTAGTTTTTGCTCTCCTAAATCTGCAATCAAAATGTGGGATAATCAATTTGAAGGCCAAAAAAGTTCATCTTCAACTTCATCCATAAACTTCCCAAGGCAAAGATTTCTGGGCTTCTAGTTGATTATTTCACATTTTGATTACAGATTTAGGAGAACAAAAACCTAATTTGAAGAAATATGTGCGCAGATTGCTAAAAAGAATCACATATTGATTTAAACTGGAGTGCAAAACCTAAATTTATAGTTTTACCTTTTATTTTAATGCCAAAGCTAACGGAGAACCATTTTGACTTAAAATTCAAAAGTCAGAGGACCACTTTGGGGAAATTAAAAGTCAAGGGACCAATTTGAGAAAATGCCATAGTCGGAGGACCGTTTTGAGAATTAACTCTATATAAAATTTATATATTTAGAAACTACATTAAAAGTAATATTAAACACAAAAAATTAAATTTAAAAATAATTAAAAATTAATAAAGAAAACAAGTAATGAAGAAAGAATTGGTTTGACCAATTTGTATACATGACACGCAAAATTGGATAAAGGAAATATATATAATCAAACGTTAAAAGGTTAGAAGATGATGTAATTATTTTTTGAGTTAATTCTATTTTTGGTCCTAGATTTATAGGTGACAGTTCACTTTTAGTTATTTTATTTAAAACATCTTTATTTTGTTTTAGTATTATTGTGGTATGATCATTTTTGGTCCTCAATCAACAAAATCATTTAAATTTCGTAAAATACAAGGGTATTTAGGCCTTCAATTATGAATTTTTTTAAAAACATAAAAATAAAAATATAGCGGGTCAACATACTTTGTATAAAAAGATCGAAAATGCAGTCGTTATATTATAGACCGCGGTGCATGTGCACCGCGGTAAAAAACGGCGTCGTTTCTTTAAGTAAAGAAACGGCCCGCCGTTAGATTTAACGGAGTCCGCTTGTTTGGTGTATTAAACACCAACTGACACTATAGTATATCTAAACCGACACTGCAGTTATATCAAAATGATACTGTAGTTATAGTGAAATGAAACTGCAGTGTATATAAAATGAAACTGAATAACATTTCACATATTTGAGTGTATATTGTAGAATGAAGTTGTAATTATATCAAAATGATCATGTAGTTGTGTTTTAATGAAACTATAGTGTATATAAAATAAAATTAAATAACATTTTCACATATTTGAGTCTATAAATATCGAATGAAACTATAGTTATATTGAAATGAAACTGTAGTTGTGTTGAACTGAAACTGCAGTGTATACAAAATGACACTGAATAACAGAGTTACTTTTTGCAAAAGGGTGCGAAACGGCATAAACAAACACTGTTTATTTTCATTTAAAAAAAAAAAAGACGCGCGGTGCATATGCACCGCGGTGCATAATATAATTTGCCTTGAAAATGTCCTTGGGTCTCCGGCGGGGACATGGGCTACACCCCCTGGTGCTGGCGTGTCACCCATGTCTCTTCCTTAGCTTGCTACAGGCCGCTGCTGCTTCATCTTTCTCCTTCAATCGGCGCTACATTAGGTAGGTTTGTTTTTGGTTGATTAAAGATGAAGATGATGATGGATTATAATGTATAAGCTACTATCATCATCAGAGGAGGAGAGCCACGAGTGAAGGAGATGGTTTATTATCACGACTGAAGGAGAAGAGGTGAACCGGCAAAACAAAACAAAAATTGGAGCTATTAATATGAAAATTAAAAAAATAATAATAATAGAAGAGACCAAAATACACTTTCTTAAAATAAAGCTTTCACCTGAAAAATTATCGGAAGGACTTTAGGTGTCCAAAATATGATAGTCTGGGATGTTAAATGACAAAAACAATAGTCTGGAACTAAATTTAAAATTGCCACCAAAGACAAAGGACCTCCGGTTGAATTAACTCTTTTTTTTTTTTTAAATGTTATCCTTGCTTGAATTCAAGCAAATAATTGCCCATGTACCTATGCGATGTAGGGATAAAATTTTTTGTTATATATTTAGATACTAAAATTAAAGATGGAATTATAAACAATTCTAATATTTGAAAATGTACATTTATTTGATTATAAGATTAGTGCAAAAGTATCACTCAATTAATTGAATAATATATTACTCGTTTGTCTGTAATTATTTTAAAAAATTGATATGTAATATGATTTATGTAATTATATTATTACTAAAATAAATAGGAGAAAAAAAGATAAATACTTTAATTATAATTATTATAAAAATAAATTTAACGATCTATATTTAACTTAATTACCATAATAATTATTAATCAATTATACTTTTATACCTTAAGTATATTCCTTTTCACCATATCACTTTTACTAATATTCATATAATTATTATCTTAATTAACATAATAATTATCTGTGCAATTAATTTCTTAATTAAGCTCATTAATTTTATTATATTAGTTGTTTTAATATTATATTGCGCAATCTATTTAATACTAAACTCATTCTATCTTATACAAATTGGAGTAGTGACGAAATCATATTGTTGAATACGAATAGGAATTTTAATATTGTTGCATTGTATTACAAATAAGAATTTTTAATGTAGAATTGTAGTACGAATAGGAAAGTAAGAAACAATATATTCTATTATTAGAAATTGTATTACAATATTTTACAATATTACGCAAACCTTAATAGTATAGGACTGTTTTGAGCGGGAAGTTAAAATAGAGAATTCTGTTTTTATTAATAGTATCGATTTCATGTTACATGTCATGTTTACTATGAATGCGTCAAATAAATTTATCATGTCGTGCTGAAGCTTCATTCATGTGAGGCAAAATATAAACACTGATGGCACATTTGGTTCACAGAATGAATTTGTATGGAATATGAATGTTATTCCACAAGTAATGGAATAAGTAAGGAATAACATATGAATTGTATTCTATTGTTTGGTTTCCCGAAATGTCAATTACAAATGTTGCAAAATGTGTGTGTGTGCGTGCGTGCGTGCGTGCGTGTGTGTGTGTGTGTGTGTGTGTGTGTGTGTGTTGTGTGTGTGTGTGGGGGGGGGTGTATATATATATATGTAATTTATTTAAATATATACATTTATATAATATATTATATCTATTAAATATAAATATTAAATAATGTGCAAAGAGTATTTTTGGTATTTGTGATATAAAAGCTACTCCCAAGAGCATGTAAATAGTTAATACCAAGGTCCCACTAGGAATGACTATTCCCTTTGCAAAGGTAATAGTTCATTCCTAGGAATGTTATTACTATGACAAATTGATCAAACCAAATTAAACAATGGAATATGCCTATTCCAAGGAATGTTATTTCATTCCTGACCTATTTCATGAACCAAACATTCCATAAATGTGCAAAACGTTAATACTAAATGTGCAAACCTAGAAAAGTCTAAAAATAGCATAGTTTAGTATTCATGTTTACATAGTAAAGTTGGTGATAATTACGAAACTGTCACCGCATTTTTTTCTCTTATAAACTTGTTCTCATATGATCCAATACATACATACACACATACATACATACATACATACATATATATACAGAGGAAGCTGTTCAGGAGAGAATATGTTGCCCAAGAGAGAACTAAGAACCATTCATAGCCGTCCACGTGTCCAGATCTAATGGATCAAAAACACTGATTTAAAAAAATGTGGTGGTATTTTTATAAATAATTGAGCATCGAAGTGCAAGCAAATTGTGTTAAAAGTGCAATTAACAGATTCATATAGTGTATCTAAGTGCAAGTAAAATGTATTACATGTGCAAGTAAAATGTATTACAAGTGCAACAAATAATGCACACTGAACATCAATATTAAGTGCACATAGCGTTATCATTAGTTGCACAAAATGTTATCATTAAGTGCACCTATGTGAAAGACTTTATCATTAGGTGCACAAATGTTAATAAGGTAACCTACTTGCACTATTTAATGAAAATAGTTGCACTTATAAGTGATTTTACTTGCACTTTTTAGTGGCAAACTTGCACCAGTTACCTGCACTTTTAACACATTTTACATACACCAAAGTTTGAGTTATTTAAAAAATTGTTACCGCGTCTTTTAAAATTACATATGATTCGTTGAATCTGGAAACGTGGACGACTGCATTTGGTTATTAGTTCTCTCCTGAGCTCCCGTTCTCACCTAAGCATATATATATATATATATATATATATATATATATATATATATATATATATATATATATATATATATATATATATATATATATATATATATATATATATATATATATATATATATATATAGAGAGAGAGAGAGAGAGAGAGGGAGGGAGGAAGGTTCAAGTGCGGTGGTGCGGTCAATTGTAGGTCATTAGATTAGATAAATCGAATGAATCACATTCGTTAGGGCTTCTCCGATATTTTCGCGCACGTTCTCACTCTACGCGAACTGCAAGGCTAAAGTCGTCACTAGGCACCAGAAGAGGGCAAATCATAGTGTTGTGTGTTTTATGTTCGTTATTGGTGCATTATTAACCTTACTCGGGTGTATTTGTGGATTTGTGTTGGTGTCTTCCCGTGCGGTTAGTGCGACCGCACTAATAGTTATACAAATATACATCATCCATGTTAGAAAATGCACACCAAAAAAACATGCACAAATTCGGTATGCATCACCAGGACACACCATTAGGTATGAATATAAGCACCACACAGTGTTCGGAAATACACCATTGGGGTGGTGAGTTATATGGTGTATTTTTTGGGTGTGTTGTGTGTTATTTTGATGTATTTGTGCATTTCATTGTTGTGTTTTTCCTAACACTATTAGTGTCTTTTGTTAACATTGTTGGTGTATTTTGTTAACACTGTTGGTGTATTATGTTAAACGACCGATATAAATGACCACTATAATTACCATAATACCCTCCACTTACCAAGACACACTTAAATCTTCAAATCTTCAGAAATTAGCCGCTGCCGTCAAATTAAGCAAAATGGACGATGCTGATATGACTGCATCGCCGCACCTAAGGACCCTGCCGCATATGAGCCTTATTCAATATATATATATATATATATATATATATATATATATATATATATATATATATATATATATATATACATACATATATATATATATATATAGTATTAATTAATCCAATACATTTAAAATTTTGCTTTATACACTCAAATATTTCAAGGATTCTAAGTATTATATTCGAATAGAATGCGTGTACAGAGTAAATATAAAGAAAATAGTTACAGTAGAAAAATATTAATAATATTATTCAAATTCAAAATATAAAAGTAATATCAAGTTTTGATTACTCTATGCATCACTTCGGTCATACTCCTGCTCTCTTTCTCCTTCTTTCTCCTCTTTTTATTTTAGCGCACATGTCATCAAATTTCCTCATCCCGGCATGTACAACTAATTTGAATTTATTCCAAGCCTCATTCACAAAGTTGGACTCATGCTCAGAGTTGGAATCAGAACTATCATATATTGACTCATGCTCAGAGTTGGAATCAGGACTATCATATATTGCCTCATGCTCAGAATTGATACTAGATGCCTCTGTCAATCATTTCAATAAGCAAGAAAAGAGATTTAGTAGGACCCTTGACACACCAAAAGCATTTTGCATGTTTTGTCTAGAATGTGTTCAATGCCAACTTAGTAATAGAATATAACATTTTTCTTTATAATATAATCCTAACTCTATTATGTACCACCCAAAAAAAAAAAAAGTGATTTGTACGTACATATACTATCATGAGAGAAACAATATGAAAGCCATGTCTTTATTCATTCTATCCAAAAAGTTGAACCCTAACCCGATGGTAACTCACAAAGAGACATTTGCTTCACCCCGACCCAACACACAGAGGCTAGACTAATGCTATCAACTAATCAAACCTACCAACTCAATCAACTAACAGCTAACAACTATTTACCAAACCACCCCTAAGTCAAAAATGATAATGAGAAAATTAAAGTGAAGAATTAAGCTAGTTAATTTCACTTACTGATTATCTCGACATTGAGTTGCTCGTTTCCTATATCCCGTGCAGATTCCTCAATGTTCTTCGCCCAACTATCAACATTGTGATTGCAATTGGTCACGAAGATCTTTTTCAATGTTATAACATCATCAAAACTAGAAGGCATCAGTAGTAAGTTCCGACAATATCCCAAATCTAATTGCTCAAGGCAAGGAAAGGACTCAGCAACATTGCTAATATTCCAAATTCCAATATCAAGTAAAACTAATTGGAGGATTTTGAGTTTGGGGAATTTGGTTTCCTCCTCCAGAATCCATATTAAGCTCTCCTCAAACTTGCAACCAAGTAGTATTAGACTCCCAAGATTTGGAAGTTGTGCAATTGTTGAAATTGCAGACACCGAAAGAGTAATAAAATGCAAATGTATTTTCTTAATACTTGATGGAAACTTGCTGAGTGGAAAACTTTCATAATTACTTGATAACTCAAGAGTTTCAAGATGATGGAGAAAGTCAATTTCAGGAAAGCCATCAGAACTTGAGACACCACACCTCAATACTTTGAGACATGGAAGCTTTCTCAATAAATCTTCATGCATTGGAGTGAGAGGACATCGCGATTCCCAAGTTTGCAATTCTTTTGAACAAGCAGGAATTGCTTCAATCATAACTGATCTTGATTTCTCCATACAAGACTTATTGCAACTGACACCACCAGTAATAACCATATGTCTCAATGTACTCATATTCCCCAAAAAAATTGGGAAATGCACCTTATTTGATCGCAACTTTAATGTTATGAGACACTTAAGATTCTGTAGTAATAATGGTGAGACATCATTTGCATCATCATTTTGATGTACATCTACTTCGAGAGCTAGATACCTTAGATGAGTTAGTGAGCTAACTTCAGACAAAAATGATTGGTACACACGGATGGCCTCTAAATCCAAGATTGTGAGATGTTCAAATTTTTTAGCAATCCATGAGGCATTATAAAAGGGTGAATAATGATGATGGAAAACCAAAACTGTGTGAATAGAAGAATTCCGTGGTACCAATTTAGAAGCATTATCGGATGTCGAATGCATATGAAAACACATTCGATGTGGGATAAAATTCAGAGTTGGATCCCACTTCTTTTCCATATTAATTATCTCCATGGAAATTTCCTCTCTAGCTTTTGTTAAGCAAAAGTCACGTACCAAATCATGAACTGTGCATGATATGATGCGACCATCATAATTCTCTCCAGACACCATAATTAGGTTACTACTAACCAGATGGTTTAAGTAATCCTCTGCCTCATCTTCTACTCTCTCTTTCTCTGTCATTCCTATGATAAATCCTTCAGATATCCATAGTTCTATTAGTTTCGAAACTTTAATTTTTTCATCCTCTAGGAATGCAGCAAAGTAAAGTAAGCATGGTTTCAAATGATCTGATAAATACCTGTAACTAAGCTCTATCGCATCATTGCTTTGTATTCCGTCTCCAAATGTAACATGTGAGTTTAAAGTAAGAAGAAATTTACGCCACTTTTTCTCACTATTTTTATCTTTTTCAAGAAGACCCGCTATCAAACCAACTGTCAAAGGTAATCCCCCACATTTTTTAGATATTTCTCTTCCAACATTTTCAAGCTCTTTAGGACATCCCTTCCCTTTAAATAACTTCACTTGCAATAATTCCCAGCTCTCATCAGTACTGAAGAATGGAAGATGAATATGTTTGGCATCAGAAACCACATTTTCTTCTCTGCTTGTTAAGACAATTCTACTTCCATTGTCACATGAGGGAAAAACTCTATTCAACTCTTCCCATGCTTCTGGACTCCAAATATCATCCAACACTATGAGGTATCTCTTTCCCATCAAACTTTTGCGAAGCTCTTCCGATACACTACTGCCCATCTTTATCTCACTACCACATACTTGACCATATATTTTGTTCAACAATCCCTTGCAATCATATTCTTGAGAAACAGTACACCATGCACACTCGTCAAAAAAGTTGGCTACATTTTTCTTCTCATACACTCTCTTGGCCAAAGTTGTCTTCCCCAATCCACCCATGCCAGTAATTAAAATAACTTCTCTCTCGTCTGACCCATGAAAAAGATATTCTATGATAGTTTCTTCTTCCTTCTTGAAACCCACAACTATATCATTATCTGGATTAGAGATGTTTGGCATCATTTTGATCTCGAAAAGCTTGTATTATGTCTACAATTACAAGGTTTGGTTGAAATATATATATTCAATATTTTCATCAATCAGAATAAAAGAACAAATTAAAGTAAGAAAGTGAAAAAATTATGAGAGGCAAAGCACTTGATAAGTGATGTGATGAAAAGAGAATAGTGTTGGCACAAAGAGGATATAATTTAATATTAAAGTCTTTACATTTTAGGAAATATAAATGTATCTTTTAGAAAATGAGCTGCCATAAATTGGGATTTTTTGTTTTGTTTTTTTTGTTTTGTTTTTTTTTTTTTTTTTTTTTTTTTTTTTTGTTTTTTTGTGAGAATAAATTGGGAAACTTTATACTTACAGTAATAGTTAATTGCAACTTTACAAATTACAAGTAGTGTTTTATGGGAAGTGAGAATTACCCTTGTAGTGCCCATAGTTATTCCTGTGATAATATATATATATATATATATATATATATATATATATATATATATATATATATATATATATATAATGTGCATATTTGCGCTATTAAATTAATGTCTCATATAAAAATTAAATAAGTAAATATTTTCGCTACTTTAGCTCATACTTTAGTTACTACAGCATTTAGTTTTGCTACTACTATGTACTGGGACAATGTCCCACCAGACTCTATTTCAGCTCTTCTATAAATACAACCACCAGGTTGACCTTCAAAAAATAAGTAAATATGTAATACACTTTTCAAATAATACATAATTAATATAAAATAAAAATAATTATATTCAATATAATCAAAATTAATATTTTCAACTTGTAATAAAAGTAATAGTAAATATGAATATTGTTGTAGATAGTTATAATCGAGAATAAAAATAATTTCTTAACAATTTTCATATTAAAATAAATTAAGCATTCCTAATGCAATATTGATGATGAGTCAGTAAAATTTAATTTTTTTTTTTTTATTTAAAGTAACATGATTATAATAAGTTTACTGATGTTGTTGAATAATAATTAAAAAATTATGCAATTAAGTTATAGCATATGAATTTATAAGTTTTTTTTTTTTTTTTGTGTGTGTGTGTGTATGATTAGAATGTCAATTGTTGTTATATATAATTATTCATCTTGTAAACTCTCATTAACATTTTGAAATATTATATTATTTAAAATAGAGAGAAATTTTATCACATACATAGTATATCAAGTTGTAATAAAATGTACTTTTTAATTTAAAAAATATAGATTTGGAATAGAAAATTAAAATCTGTGCTATAATATATTAAGCAAAAAGAACTAAATAGTTGAAAAAGAAATACTATTTTAGAATAATTTTAGCATGACATTCATATATATCTTTTAGGATAAAAAAATCAAACAAATAATTGTTTTTACATTTTTTTTTATATAATGTTGATGAAACAAATCAAATTAAGTAAATATTATTATATTTTAATTCTTACCACAAAGAAAAAATAGTTGAAAAAAATTGACACGTATTTAATAATAATAATAATAATAATAATAATAATAATAATAATAATAATAATAATAATAATAATAATAAATGCCATCATCATCATTGTTATTATTATTGTTGTTGTTGTTGTTATTAAAATGTTATAAAATATTTTGCAATGAGAAAGTTAAAAATACTAAATAGTTAGTAGAATATTTCATTATTAAAGTTTGTACATATAAATCTTCTTAAAAAAAAAAAACAAAATTTGTAATAAATGGAAAAGTAAAAGTGAAAGATAGTAACTTTGAAAATATTTTATCATTGTACATAGAATAAATTAAAATATACAAGTTACCGATTCATATTTTATTACACTAACACAATTTTTATTCATGGTATAACCTAACCAACATTTTAGATAGTTATAATCGAGAATACACATTATGTTCTAACAATTTTTATAATAAAATCAATTCAGTTCTTAAATGTGACAATAATGAGTCAATAAAACTTTTTTTTTTTTGTTAAAAGCGACATAATTATAATAAGTTTACTGATGTTGTCGAATAGTAATTAAAGAGTTATGCAAATTAATTTCTAACATATAAATTTATTATACGTTTTCATTGTGTAAATGATTGAGACTTCAATTGTTGTTATATATGAACTATTCATCTTGTAAACTCTCACTAAATATTTTGAAATATTATTTTTTCCTATAAGATTGATTAGATAATGAAAATTGTGCATTTAAATTCTTAAAATATAGAATTTTTTTGTCTCATACATAGTAAATTAGCTTATAATAAAATATGCATTTTAATTAAAGTAATATAGATTTAGAATAGAAAATTGAAGTTTGAGTTACAACAAATAAGATTTGATATAAGTAAAGAGAAAACAATGTATTGTTAGAATAATTATACTGTGACATTCATATTATTTTACGATGAAGATTCAAAAAGTAATCGCTTTCATTTTTTTAATATATAATTGAAAGAAACAAACCAAATTAAGTAAATATTATTATATTTTAATTTTTAAGTAAATATTTACAAAGGAAGACCATACAACCTATGCCTACACTAAGGCTCGAAACCTAGACCTCCCACATAGGGGAGCAATCCAATACCAGTGGACCACAAGCCACCGGTATAATTGATACAAGTTTCATTTTATATACACTAATTTATTTGTTATAATTATAATATAAAAACAAAATGTCTGTTATAATTGTTGTTTTGTTGTTGTTATTATTATTATTATTATTATTATTATTATTATTATTATTATTATTATTATTATTATTATTATTATTATTATGCTAGAAAATATTTCGCAATGAGTAAATTAAGAATAATAAATAGTTAACAAAATATATATTTCGTTACTAATGTTTGTACATAAATAGAAAAGAAAAAAAAAAGATAATAACTTTGGAAATGTCTTATTATTTTACAATGAATAAATAAAAATGAACAAGTTATCCATTCACATTATTACCCCAACATAACTTTTATTCCCGTTATAACATTACCAACATTGGCTCTTATTATATTTATTTACTAGTTATAATGAGTGCATTACGTGATTAAATTAATGTCCAACACGAAAATTAAAATAAGTAAATAATTAATACATTTTTAAATATTAAATAATTAACATAAAACATTTAATATAAAATAAAGATAATTATTTTCAATATAATCAAAATGAATATTTTCAATTTGAAATAAAAGTATTAGTAAAGATGAGTATTGCTCTAGATTGCTATAATCAATAATAAAAATAATGTCCTACCATTTTCATATTAAAATAAATTTAGTCTTCTTAATGCGATATTGATGAGCCACTAAAAACTTAAAATTTTGTCTCATACAAAATAGACTTGAAATAAAATGAACAATTTAATTAAAGCAATATAGGTTTGGAATATAAAATTAAAATTTGTGTTACAACAAATAATGATTTATTTAATTAAAGAAATGACAAATTATTCTTAGAATAATTATAGTATGACATTCATATTCGTTTAGGATGAAGATTCTAAAAATAATAACTTTTACTTTAAATATATATATATATATATATATATATATATATATATATATATATATATATATATATATAGTTGAAAGAAACAAACCAAATTATGTAAATAAACTAAATATTATTATATTTTAATTATTACTACAGATAATAAAGAGTTGAAAAAAGAATAGAAAAATAAAATAAAAAATAATTGACATGAGTTTCATTTTGTGTATACTAATTTAATTATTATTATTATTATTATTATTATTAAAATGTTAGAAAATATTTCACAATGAGTAAGTTAAGAATAATAAATAGTTAATAGAATATTATTTTTCTAAAGTGTGTACATAAATTGAAAAGTAAAAAGTAAAAGAAGGTAACTTTGAAAATGTCTTATCATTGTACAAAGAATAAATAAAAATAAAAAAAATTATCAATTCACATTATTACACCAGCATAATTTTATTTCCTACACCAACATAATTTTTATTTTCGTTATAAACTTACTAATATTAACTCTTACTATATAATAGATGTATAAGGAATAAATAAAAATGTACAAGTTATCAATTCATATTATTACAACAACATAATTTTTATTCTCATTATATACCCTTGCTAATATTTACTCTTATTATATTTAGTAGATAGATAGTAGATATTTAGTAGATAATAGATTTTTTGGTAAAAATATAATATTTGGCGGGTCCAAGTGAAAAAAAAAAAAAATTTGGTGCAGCCTGATTGGATGATAAGACTATTTAAACTCACGGAATCTTCTCTCACTTTTAAAATGACGAAATTTATAATTAATTACTATACATTCTTCATCCATTTAATTACCTTGTTTTCTTTAAAAAATTATCTCACTTTCACATCAACTATAAAAAAAATATTATTTTCTTTTATCAATAAATTTTTTTCTACTATTAATCTATTATATCAATATATAAATTAATTTAAGTTATTAAAAAGATTAATTAAAATGTTTAAAATGTTATCAAATTATTTTTAAAAAAATTGAAATAAAATAATTCGTAAACAAATTTTTGAAAAAAAGTTATACTACATAAAAATTTACTATAGTCAAATGATAGATGAGAGACTTAATTCTAGGAATGATTTTGTAGCTATTGACATTTACCAACTTTTATTATTGACTTTCAATTTGACTATAAATAATGTTTGACTATAAATATTTATTTAATAAGTGTTAAATTTAAAGGTCTGAATGTAAAATTAAAATTGACTTGTTACAGAAATAGGCAAATTAAATTCATGAGCTTCATGCATTAGTGGGTTCATCATTAATGAAAATGTAAAATACACAAGTTAATTTAGACTAGATTACTAATAAAAGACTTACTATAGTCAAATAATAGATAAAAGAGTTAATTTCATAAATAGTGAGCTTTGTCAATTTTTATCATCAACTAATTAGCCTGTTCCAAATTGGCCACAAACTTCATACTAGCAAGAGCTTACTAACCTTAATATATATATATGGAAAACCTTGACGATCTCTCGAGATGAACACGTACTTTGAGTTAATTGAAAGAACTAACTTGTTAAAGATTATAATTTGCCTGAAATTAAATAAAGATGAAAGGAAATAATCCTTAGATTCGCACAAACAATTCATAATATAAACTAATTTAATGAACATTACAGAGCCAACAACACAACAGCAAAAACTAAGCAAACAAGTGAGGAAATAAATGACTTTACTAAAAATACAATGGGGTATTTGATAAATGATAGTTAATTGATTGGGTTAGTAGGTTTAACTAGTTGATAGCATTAGTTGATTGTAGAAAAACGTTTGCTAAATTAGTTGATAGTTATTAGTTGATTATATATAAAATAACTTTTAAAAAAATTGATTGAAAAAGTTACTTTGAGCCGCTTTTTTAATTTTAGTATTCTGGAACAATAAGTTATTACAAAAAAGGTTAATTAATCAAACATTTATATTGATTGTTTAACCAAATCAAACAGCTAATAGTGGTCAAATAAACCAAAATTGACTTATAGGCTAACTATTTTACCAAATAGAGCATATATTATATTTCAAAAATGACTTACCTCTGATCTGATCTGTAAATGAATGGGCAGAGAAATGAATTTTAGAGCCACTATCCAATATATATCTTTAAGAAATCTGCAGATTTCTTAATTAAAGTAGAAAAAGAGTTGAGGAAGCTAGGAAATGGAGATCAGAGAAGAGAGAGCATTTGGTAGAAGAAGAGATCAGAGTGGTTTATATGAAAATATGAAAAGAGATTGCTGCAGATAATTACGGGAGAATTGAAATGCTAATATATGATGAGAGATTGATTTTGGGTGGAAGACAGCATATATGGTTTTAGCCCATTTATAGAAAAAGTTACAAGGATATGTTTTTCATTTTTTTAAAAATACTCATTATTTTTTACAAGTAGTATCTATTTTATACATTTTCAAATATTTTTTAATAATTGTAATGTAGTTGGCGATATTCTTTTCATTTGTTTTGTCTTACATTGATTTTGGTCCATCGTGTCGTCTAGCTTGACTATTCAAATGGGTATTCATTTTCTTCATTTAAATTATTTATTTATTATATTGCTTAATAAGTGACCTTATCGTCTTAACTTGAATATTCAAATCGGGAATATTTTCTTCATTTAAATTAATTATTACTTAATAATTGATCTTATCATCTAGATTGTGACTATTCAAAAGGGAATTGATTTTCTTCATTTAAATTATTTATTGCTTAATAATTGACCTTATTGTGGAGCTTGACTATTCAAATGGGGAATCGATCATTTTCTTCATTTATATTATCTATATCTGTTTTCGATAAAAAAAAAAAAAATACTATCTATATCTATTTATTATCTACTATCTATCTACTATACTAATAAGAGTCTAATGAGTAATGATATGTTTGGTTCATGGAATAGGTCAGGAATGGAATAACATTCCTTGGAATAGACCTATTCCACCGTTTGGTTGGATCATTTTGTCATGGGAATAGCATGCCTAGGAATGAGCTATTACCTTCGCAAGGGGAATAGCCATTCCTAGGGGGGGCCTTGGTATTAGCTATTCTCATGCCCTTGGGAATAGCTTTTATATTACAAATACCAAAAATACCCTTTTGCACATTATATAATATTTATATTTATTTAATAAATATAGTGTATTATATAAATGTATATATTTAATTAATTATAATTTGTATCCATCAATCTATCAATCTATCAAAATATATATATATATATATATATATATATATATATATATAATAAACTGTCACGGCCGGTGATACTTTTCTTTTCTCGAAATGCCAATTGCAAACGCTACAAAATGTGTGTGTGTGTGTATATATATATATATATATATATATATATATATATATATATATATATATATATATATATATATATATATATATATATAAAGTAACTGTATAAGACTCCTTAATTATGGAGCCTTTGGCTCCTAAATTAAGTAGTCTGCTCATCTGCATGCCTAGCGGATGGGCATTGCAAGCTTGCCTAGCAAATGAGCATTGCAATTGAAAATATTATGGAGCCTTGAGGAGCCTCAAGGCTCCATTCCTTACTTCTCCAACCGATGTGGGATAAGTGAGAACATAAATATAAAAATAAATATGTATTTGTATAATAATAATAATAATAATAATAATTATTATTATTATTATTATTATTATTGTTATTGTTATTGTTACTGTTATTGTTATTCTCTCTCTCTCTCTCTCTCACACACATGCATATACATGTATATAAATACAAATATAAATATAAATATATAAATAAATATATATATATATATATATATATATATATATATATATATATATATATATATCATAATCATATTAATTATTATTATTATTATTATTATTATTATTATTATTATTATTATTATTATTATTATTATTATTATGTATAAGGGTATTTATGTCTTTAAAACCTATTCCATTTCTATTCCTTTAACCAACCAAACACTGGAATACAATTACTAAAGTTTATTCCTTCAGCCAACCAAACAACAGAATATAATTCATATTCTATTCCTTACCTATTTCATTCCATGTGGAATAACATTCCTATTCCCTCCAAATTCATTCCGTGAACCAAACGTGCTGTAAGAGAGTTAGGTCTATAATAGGTAAAAAAAAAAAATGGCAGTCAAATTTTTTTAATCAAATGAATATCTCTGATCAGATTTTAATTTTTTCTTAAGATTTTCTAATTTATCCTTAATGAATATGATTATCCGTTAACTTTTCCGTTAAATATTATCTTTTCCGTTAATTTCTGTTAGTTCACCGCTAACTTACTCATTGATTTCAATAAGAATGGTCTTAGGTTCGAAACCCCAAATACATATGCATTTCTTTAATTTAGAATTATGTGTCTACAATGTCTTTATTCCAAAAAAAAAAAAAAGTATTCATTTTCAATAAATTAAATAAGATAAATAATTTCATTACTTATATTGTATTTATTTTTCTCGAATATAAAAATTCTTTACATTCAAATTAATCAATTGATTATATTCACTACATTGTCCATACAATGTCTTTATTTAAAAAAAATTATTCATTATCAATAAATTAATTAAGAGAAATAATTTTATTAGTTATATTGTCTTTATATTTCTCCAATGTAAAAATTCTTTACATTCAAATTCATCAATTGATTATATTCACTACATTGTCTATTATCTTTTTTTTGTGCACTATTTTTTAATTAAATATCAAAGTTATAATACAAAATAATGATATATATTTATTTACCAAGTATTTTATTAATACCATGAAAAAATTAAAAAAATATAATTAATAAAGCCAATTATATTAACTACTTGAGGAATTTGTTGACAAAGAGAGTATTCAAATCACACAACAAATTGAAGTGAGAACTACCTCGCAATGTTCTTGTTTGACAATCCGCAGTTAGCGGTTAGCGTTAACGGATTATATTAACGAATTTGACTAGCGAATTATATCAACGATTGATAAAAAGATATTTGAAAAAATTAACTGTTTAGATTAACATGTAAAATGACCTAAGGGTATAATAATAATAATAATAATAATAATAATAATAATAATAATAATAATAATAATAATAATAATAATAATAATAATAATAATAATAATAATAATAATAATAGTTTTTTTTTAATATAATTAAGCCAATCATATTAACTATTTGGGGAATTTATTGACAAAAAAATATTCAAATCACACAACAAATTAAAGTGTGAAACTATCTCGTAATGTCCTTGTTTGGCAATCAACAGTTAGTTCTTCAATATTCGTATATATTTAATATTTTATACCTTAATTTTTATTTGCTCTCCCTTATGTCCCGTATTTGGTTTCAACCATACCTATACAATTATAATCAATCTTGACTATATTATCTTGCATTTGTAAACTTAGAATTGCCTATTTAAATACGCAAATTTAACATTCAATTATCTATGCATGAATAATTTCAATATAATCTTGCTTTGATACACTTTAAATTACTTATTTTAAAAAAAAAAAAACATTAAGCATTATTCTAATCACGCCAATATAATATTGCCTTGATATATTTTAAAGTATTTAAAAATATATATTAGGCATTATCCCAATTGCCAATACCCGTAAAAAAAAAAAACTAGTTGTTTAATAAAAGACAATATTGCTTATTATTCAAATCAAGTCGTTCAATCCCACTTGAGGCCACCAACTTGCTAACACTTTTATTTGCAAGGACATAATACTGTGAGATAATTTTAAATAAGAATGTGAAATTGAGAATCTCATAATATTGACCAGATCAAGTGCACTTTATTAATTTGGTGTTGGTTTTGATTTTGGTTTTGGATGATGCGTTTATGAGACTCTTCGGTACACACATGAGATTGAGGGACTTTGAAAAAAGTTGGTTAATAGACTAAGGGACAACGATGATTTGTATATTGCTCTTCATTTGAGGTATGATAACTAACACAACTTTTGATTTAATGTTTGAGGTGTAACTTAATTAACCGATTTTCTTTTAGTGTAGATACGAAAAAGACATGTTTGCGTTTACTGGCTGCAGCCACAATATGACTGAAGTAGAAACTAAGGAATTTCGCGTTATAAGGTATAATGTGCAGCACTGAAAAGAGAAAGAGATAGACAACGAAAAAATGAGACTGCCCTATGTCCCCGAGAGAAGCGATCATGTTTCTGAAGGCGATGGGGTACCCCTCCATGACAAAAATATAAATTTTGCAGGGAATCAGCAATAGAGGAGGAGTTGAAATCTTTCAAGTCAATCAGAAATAAACATAATCTGGAAATACGTAAAAAAAAATTAAATTTTTGTCTAAAAAAGTGACAAAAATAGCAAGTTAGATGAAAAAAATAACATGTCAGCATTGTGTTTTTATTTTATTTTTCCATGTAAGCAAATTAAATGAGTTACTTGTTAGAAATTTGCAAAAAATGCTAGATAAAAAATAATTAGGAGTATAATAGCATAGATGGACCATATTTTAATTCATGATGTTAGATGAACAATCAATATTAGCCATCGTTATGCTATGGACCCATGTCCAATATGCATTGTGGACACACTAACGATGCCGTTAGTGGCACCATTATCTTCCACTTTTTTTTTTTTTTTAATTTCAGACCGCTTCGTTATAGGAGTATATGTTCATAATTTTATCACTATATGTTTATAATTGTAAGTTCATAATGTCAGAGTTCTGTGTTCATAACTCCATAACTGTACATTCATACTTCCATAACTGTACATTCATAATTCCGTAACTGTAAATTCATAATTCAATAACTGTAAATTCATAATTTTCAAAGCTCTATGTTCACAATTTTAGAGCTCTATGTTCATAATTTTATCACTATATGTTCATATTGTAAGTTCATAATGTCAGAGCTTGTGTTCATAATTCCATAACTGTACATTCATAATTCCATAACTGTACATTCATAATTCCATAATTGTACATTCATAATTCTATAATTGTACATTCATAATTCCCTAACTGTACATTCATAATTCCATAACTGTACATTCATAATTTTCGAAGCTCTATGTTCACAATTTTAGTGCTCTGTGTTCATAATTTTATCACTATATGTTCATAATTGTAATTTCATAATGTCAAAGCTCTGTGTTCATAATTTCATAACTTACATTCATAATTCCATAACTGTACATTCATAATTCCATAACTGTACATTCATAATGCCACAACGAATAACGCCGTTAACGGCGAGACAAAATCAATTTTTTTAAAACTGGAATGTCGCGTTTTTTCCTAAAAACGACGTCGTTTTGGACTCGTGTTCATAATGCATTGTGGACAGAGTCCACAACATAATTTGCCCAATATTAGTGCATGGGCCTATTTGACCATTCTGCTTAAATTATGTGTATTATGTTAGGAGGTTATGTGTATTCTCCTATACAATTCTGTACATACAAATTTTTTTTAAGAAGTTAATGGCAAAAACGGAAAACAAAATTCTAAAAAAAATCATTAATTAAATGAAAATATACTTGGTGTACTCCCATTTAAAAATCTCAATTTGTACTCCCTCTCACATGCTCTTGATGTAGACATTTCCCTGTGGACCCACATGATACAAATAATCAATCCTAATTTGCCACCACAAGGAGTATAAATAAGGAAGTAGAATTGTTCTCACATACTTAGTCGGGTCGGAGTGTGGGGACCGTTAGGGTTGGAGATTCAACCTTTTGGGAGAAGGGAGTAGAAGCACGTAAGAAACACCTGTGGTTATTTGAGTACTAAACTTGTTAATCACATTTCCTTGTTTTGATGTGGCCTCGCCTGCTTCTTCAATGGCGCAATGCCACCTTAATAAGTTCAGGCACACACGTCTTTCTTTCTTTCTACTCAAATACCAAATGTATCTATGTTTGATTTCAAAAGAAAATTATTCTTTCATTCAAACTAATGTTCATCATGGAAATTGGACGTCACCCACAAATTATTATCCATGGAAAAATTAAAATCCATTTGTCAACAAATTAAATATCCTCATCGTATCCTTAAAACTAGGCATGACTACAGCTCAATTATTCGAATTGATCACATTGAATCGAACCACACAATAAGGTGCGAACCAAACTTTAATCTAAACTTACAATCATTATTCCGTTCACGGAATTAAAACTGGACATTCTCTATAAATTAAAGTTCCAATTTTTAACCAAGTGGCTTGTGATCCACTGGTATTCGGTTGGTCCCTTATGTGGGATGTTTTAGGTTTGAACTTTGGTGTAGGTGTATGGGTATCCCCTTCCTCTGTAATAAAAAAAAAAATCCAATTTTTATTCCAATTACTCATAAACCATAAACAACTATATCAAAATCAGAACTGAACCGTGACTATTACTTGAAAAAGCATACTAATTGGCACACTTAAGCATACTAATTGGCACACTTTCATCTATTGATAATGAAGAATTTATTGTTTTTTTTTTTTTTGTTTGAGAATGAAGAATTTATTGAACTAATCCTAATTTCTCAAAATTCATGTCCAAAAGTCGCTGGAGGAGGTAAATAGTGAGTCGCCCAGTTAGTATGCAGATCGATTCTGATCCTTTGCATAACATATTACGCTCACATTTGATCGGTCAAGGTCTCCTAATAATCCCTTGAACCCCACAGTACACTTCAATTGAGCAAGACTTTAAGGTGATCGGTAGAACCAATTGAGCTAGCACCCGGTGCAAATCTTTAGTAATGAGAAATGGGTTGTTGATACTTAGCTTCTTGCATGGGTGACTACATATAAGAAGAGAAGATGCCCACAAATCCAACAACTAAAGCAAGAGTTGATAAGCCCACAACAGTCCTTCCAACAATCAAAATGGATGTAAGTCCTCCATTTTATATAAGTTTAATCTGACAGTGAACAACAGGTTTGTTTGTTTGTTTTTCCACTCTAAAGTCAAAATGGTCTGAAAAAGGAGGCAAAGAAGGGCGGCTACCAGGCCAGTTTCCGGCCAACATGAATTTATGTACAATAGCTTAATATTTACTGCCTTTTTTCCTTTTAATATATAGGGTATGGTTGATATAGGTGCAGTGTGTAGCTCATAAACACATTGAGACAGAAGTAAACATCAAATGTACATCTTCTAAATTCCTGTTTCATGAACATATAAATTAAACAAACTAATTTTAAATATATGACGGTTTGGCCGAGTGGTCTAAGGCGCCAGATTTAGGCTCTGGTCCGAAAGGCCGTGGGTTCAAATCCCACAGCCGTCAAACTCAGGTTTTTAACATTTTCAAGTTGGATTTGATTTGAAGGGTCTGTTCTAGCACATTATTGTTGGGTTTGATTTGAAGGGTCTGGTCCGAAAGCGCGTGGGTTCAAATCCCACAGCCATCAAACTCAGGTTTTTAACATTTTCAAGTTGGATTTGATTTGAAGGGTCTGTTCTAGCACATTATTGTTGGGTTTGATTTGAAGGGCCCGTCCAGCACAATTATGCTATTAACTCTCAGGAGTGATTTGGGCTATTAAATTGGTTTTGCTGTATTATTGGATTTGATTTGAAGGGCCTGTCCAGCACAATCGTGCTATTAAACTCTCAGGAGGGCAATTTATATCCTACACCAATGCGCGCATTGCATTGTGCGCCCAGATGCAAAACGACGTCGTTTTAATTTTTTTTTTTTTTTAAATTTCCCGTCCCAGTGAATGGCAGCAATTTTTTCTTTAAAAAAAACCCGCTGTTCAAAAATGTACATAATGTTATACTAGAATACACATAATTGTATACATGAATGTACATAATTATATAACAAAATATACATACTTTTTTTAAAAGATAATACACATAATCTAACATAATACATAATAAACATAAACTTTTAACATAATATACATCAACTCTTAACATAATACACACAAATTTTCTGATTCGGATGTACATAATTGTATAAAAAGAATGTACATAATTGTATAAAAAATGTACATAACTGTATGAACGAATACACATAATTGTATGAACGAATACACATAATTGTGTGAACAAATACACATAATCCCAGCAACTTCCTACCGCGCCTCCCAAAACGACCCCAAAACGATGTCGTTTTGGGAGGCGCGCGGCGCACAGTGCTATGTGCGCCGTGGTGTAGGGCATAACGATTGTCTCAGGAGTGGTTTGGACTAGTAAATTCTCACTCTCAGAAGTGATATTAAACTCTAAATTTGGTGTTCAGAAGCAGATTCCTGTGTGAATTTGAGAAGTCTTTTAAACAAGATTGATTGATGCTTTATAAGCATTGTGCTGAGAGGAAGGCCATCTCTATCTAACGCCGCAAATTATGCTGTGGACTCGTGTCCACCATGCATTGAGGACACGAATCCAAAACGTCATCGTTTTAAGGGAAAACGGCGACATTCTAATTTAAAAAACAAATTGATTTTGTTTTGCCGTTAACGGCGTTATTCGTTTGTTTGGCAGGTAGAGCTCTGTGTTCATAATTTCATAACTGTACATTCATAATTCTCTAACTGTATATTCATAATGTTTGAACTGTATATTCATAATGTTATAACTCTACATTCATAATCTTATATCTCTATTTTCACACCAGAGTTCCACACTGTATGTTCATAATGTTATAACTCTACATTCATAATCTTATAACTCTATATTCACAATTTGCAAATTACAGAGTTCCACAATCATAATGTCTGAATTGTATGTTCATAATGTTATAACTCTACATATCCGTGTCCACAATGTATGCTGGACACGGGTCCATAGCATAACGATTGATCTAATGCTATGTTAATCGGTTAATCCTTGAAAAGTTAAATTATTGTGATCTAATCTAACGACTATAAGTAAATAGGTCAAAATTTTTGAAATGATATTATATCTTTCTTTTTATTTTTTGAAAATGAAATCTTAATGCATTAAATCAGAATGAATACAATGAATAAGAAAGGGAGGAGGGTCATCAAACCACTTCCCGCAACCTGACATAGAAACGGCTTCCCGAGCAACAGTGTGGGCAGCACGATTCGCAGATCGCTTAGCAAAACAGAAGTCAACTCCATCTATAGTGGAAGCCACCTCTTTAACATCATCAATAATAAAACCAAACGAAGAATTAAAAGCATCTGAACGTAAAAGCAAAATAAACAAGCTGCGAGTCTGTTTCAACAATCACATCTCCCATGCCAGTTCCCTTGAACCAATTTAGCGCCTCACGGATGCACACAGCCTCAGCTACTTCCACCGTGTATCTTCCCAGAACGAACAGACCTTTAGCCGCTAAGAACCGACCATCATGATCTCGTAGAATCCACCCCATACCCATTAAATTATTCCCATCATCAAACGCAGCATCCGTGTTCAATTTTAAACGACTCGTGGGCGGTGCTAACTAGTGAGCACCATTAGTAATCGGGCCTTGGCCTTGAGCATCATGTACACGTTCGTTTGCTCCCATCCAGTTCTTCCAGAACATAGTTGCAAAGTTTACTACAGATATGTATACCAATAAGTGGTTCAGATTGTTGCGATCTAATTCAATGACTACAAGCCAATAGGTTAAAGAATTAAAAAAATATGATATCTTTTGTTGAAATGTGGGTGGAAAAGGCATGCCTATTAATGAGCGGTTCAGATTATTGCTATCTAATCCAATGGCTATATATAAATAGATTAAAAATTTTAAAATAATATGATATATTTTGTTGAAATGTGTGTGCATCTCGGAGTATAAATGAAGAGTAGAATTTTAAGAGTTTATGTAGTACAACTCTTAATTAAAAGGATACAAAACAAAGTCATTTTGGGTCAGAACGGACCAGACTGATGCACGATATAACAATTGTGCTCTTTTATATTAGTGGCCCCCGGATGGCCACGAGGTGTGTCCGGAGATTGGTTTGCGTGAAACGCTGTCGTTTCATTTTTCGTTTACACGAAAGATGAATAATGACGGAGGAGGCTTTCCGAGTTTCTGGTAAATGGCAATCGGTACGGTACCGTTGTCTTGATTTGAATTTGAAACGACGTTGAAGCGGAGATCCATACGTAGAAGCTGGAAAGATGTCCGCCATAGGTTGGGAGTACCACAAATCGGGAATGCTATCCAAGGAGCAACTGCTCCGCCTTTTTGATCGATTCACTTTCCTCACCTCACAGTCTGGTTAGTGTTCTTTGCTTTCTTTTTCTCTGCATTTATCTTTTTTTTTTTTTTATTTATCGATTAATGAGTACTGTATTTCTCCGGGATGATGCGCAGACGTGAAGCAAAGGATTGCGGATGCTGTGAAGGACAAACAGGTTCACTTTACTTTCTGCATTTACAAACCTGTTCAGTTTATACGAGTCTGTTTGGGAAGTATTGTTTAAAGCTTGTATGGTGTTTGTTTAGTCATAGTGTATGGTGGAATTAGTGTGACTGTCTCTGGAAATGGACGTTTAGGGAATAATCTACTAGTTTTTAATTCGGTTTGCAACTTTTGCGTGAAGTGAAGGATGATTGCATGCTGTTTGATTTTGTACCTCTGAAAGCTGGTTTGAGCTCTCTATGCACATTGGATCAAAGGTTTGCTAGATTGCTATGTTAAATGGTGCATTAAAATTGTGATTGGAAACTAGTAATGCATTGGAATTTGGAAGATCTGGAGATTAGATGCGGCACTATGGAATCCATTTTTAATAATGATAGGCATGCTTCGCAAATAGAGTTGCTTATTTGACAAAACTGCTACATACTATGTTGAAAGTGCATTTCACTGTACTTCTTGCGGATTTTGCAACAGAATTGTAAATTTTTATTGGTGAGTGTCTGGTTCAATGTTTTGCTGCTGATTATATAGGAAGCTGTTGCTGTTACAACTGCAATCCAAGAGGAGATATTTTTGGAGATGGGAATTGGTAAGTTCTCAAATGAACTTTTCATTTTCCCCCTTTCTTTTGTGGAAAAAAAACTTGAGAGTTGATATTATTGCTCCCTGATGATGCAGTAATCCCCTACCTATGGAGTCTCAAGTTGTTGCCTACTATGTTTTTTTTTGTTGAGAATTCTTAATGTCTTTGTTGCAGATCCAAGATTTGGTCTTGCTTGCTTGGGAAAAGTAAACATGGTGTATGAAAATGATCAGGATTTGATGATTCGCTTTTATGGTTTTGTTGCAAAGTAAGATCCATCTACCACTATCCTTTTAGTGTTGTAAATGTAATTATGTTAATTTTCAAGTAAAAGGAAAAGTAGAAGTTCCATGCCTTATTGCTTGAATAATGTGCTGTTATTTCTTTTCATTTGGTCAACAACCTTCTCCTAAAACCCTATATTTTTCACTATATCCCTCATTCTGTTTTGACTATGCTCTTCTACTAATCCTCCTTAGCTACCTTTTGCTCTGTAGTTGTGACTCAAAATGATAAACAGATAATCATTGAGAAAATTTAAAGTTGTATGAAGCACATGCAACTAAATAGTAATAGTAATTTCCTTTTTGGGACAAAAAAGAGAAGAGCTGGCTTGTGAGGAAGCAGAGCTTGGTCCAGACGGATTTGCTGAAAGAATGCACATGCAACACAGTTTACAAGAGCAGGTAAGGATTTGTTTTTAGTTGAGACTTGAACGGTTCACAGTGTGATAAGACTGAATCAATTTTTTATGACAGCAATTAGAGATGCTGAAGTATATGCGCAACTTTCACTTGGATGATCAATCTGCAATCATTGACAAGGTGTGCAAATTACTTTAGTGTGTTTATTTTTCATATCATTGTGTACTTTTTATTTTTTTATTTTTCAATTATTATTATTATTACTATTTTTTTGTGACAAGGGGGTGTGCATTGGGTAAACCCTGCCTTGTGACTCTAGCCGGCAAAGGACCATAAAGAAGTAAATCAGCCTAGGTTGTGCATAGCTGACCAGCTCAAACCAAGAAGGTTGGGATTCGAACTCGTGACCTTGTGGTTACAAGTTTGTATCCTTAGCTATAACTTGGCTGGGGTTACCCCCTATTTTTTCACTCTTGATTTGGGGGTTGGGGTGGGGGAAGAAAGAACCATTGAAGCATCACTATGACACTATGAGTACCTTCCCCTTGTGGCTTCAAAAAGATTGGAACAACTTGCATTTGAGTTTACAAATAGGTCTATGATCTTTTTTTTTTTTTTTTTTTTTGGTTTTAAATCAAAAGCCACCAAAAACAGGAACATGCACATATTGAATCACCTTTTTCCCGTGTGCTATGCTTTTGATTGCCCTTCTAATTAAGCATAATCATCTTGAATGTGTCCTACCATGAAAGTTCCTGCCGAGTTCTCTTGTGCCAGCATGTAATTAGCATGTTTTGCAGGTTCGCCAGAACATGGAGATGGCCAATTTTGACAGTGAGGCTTCAGTACTGTCAGTGGAAGAGATGCAGGTTGTTGTTTCAAGCTAAGTGGCACCTCTGTTCTGCCTAGATAGCTTAGCTGAAAGTGCTGCTGTCTGTTGTAAGTTGTAACGAGATCATTGAGCTGTATATTGCGGCCTTTGAGCTTTGGAACAGAGATTGAGTTCCCCTTTATTCCTAGTGTTTATAAGTGTTAGTATTGCACAAAAAAGAATTGCATTTTAGATATTTGCTTTACGGAGTTCATGGGTCAATATTTTATTATCAGTGTGTTTCTACTTTCTACCATTGCTCCATGATGTTCTAGGTGACAATTATTAAGGGAAAATGACATTGTTTCCCCTGAATTTTATGTCTATAGTGCTTTTTCACCTAAATTATTTATGCATTTACTTGTCTTCAAATTCTAACAATGTTCGGGAGCCTTGCACATCCTCCTGCTATTACATCTCAAAAAAATTCTTTCAATGTTCTACAAATATGTTGATATGTTTTAGTACACATCCCCTTGCTATTACATCTCAATTTATAATCATGATTATCAATTTTGGTGGCATTCTTGGGATATATGTGTCTGCTTTTATTCCACATAACAGTAAATTATTGCATACGAGAGTCAGACTTGCTTAATCGGGTTGCTATCTTAATCCGTTTAAGTTTTTGTCACTACATTCTGTTTATCAAAAGGGTGAGATATACCAATACATATTGAGGGGGAGCTAGCTGAAGTCTTTGATGGTTGATGGGTTATACCTATCAAGGGGAGAATGAGAGGGGCTAATTTGAATTTGATGAACATAATGTCGAAAGGAGAGATTGTTGGTTTTTTGTACTTATGTATTTATTGACATATGTTGTTGACCATAGCTTTAAGAGTTAGTCAAATTGTTTTTCTATAATTAAGGGTGAAGGAATTATTTTGAGTGGGAAACATGAGATCGTGCTCAGAAATGTTAATTGAACTTGACTCCGATAGGGAAACATGGTCCCCACCTCGACAGGAGCAGGGATGTGAAGAGTTTTCTCATTGGGGCTAGGGAAAGGGATTATTGTACCCCTTGTCCCTTGTCTCGGCCTTGATCCCAAACCTCGAATCCAAACTCGAACCTGAATCCCAACCTAGACCTGAATCTTCATCGGTGGCAGGGAAGTTGAGGGGGAAAGAGGCGGATGTATGAAGAGGAAGCGAGTGGAAGATATGCTAGCAGATGTGGTGGAAGGGGAGGCGAATACAATATATTTGAAGAACAATCGACTCAACAATTTCAACAATAAAGCTTGTTGTCTCCTCAATCTTCACAACCTTCTCTGTTTTAGAGGATTTGAACACGCATATCAAACACCAACGTGATCAAATCGATCAATTTCTTTGAGCTCTGGTGAAATTTTGATGTTTTTGTGTGGAAAATATGGTGGTGTTTTGTAGAGATTTTTATCGACGTGTATTGATTTTGGTTTTTGTGTGTATAGGGAGATCAATGGCGGACACTGGAGGAGAAGCGATAGAGGCACTACTGCACGCTGCTGGGAGAGGCGAAGGAGTCAGTGGCGGGGAAGCTGAGGGGGAAAGAGGTAGATGTGAGGGGGAAGCGAGCAGAGTATATGATAGCAAATGTGGTGGAAAGCGAGGGGAATACAAATATCTTCATTGGAATTTGCATATATTAATGAAAATGAATTTATGAAATGAGGAAACGGAGAGAGAAGATAATGAAATGACGAAAATACCAATGTGTTAAACGAAGAGTTAATAGAAAATGTAACTGAGGACTATTTTAGGTAATGTTTTAATAGTTAAGATACTAAATGCAGCAAAAAAAATTAAAGAGAGAATTTTTACAAGCATTGCAATATTCGGCCCAACTGTACAACCCATCAACCTTCGTGGCTTAGTAGGGGAAGGGTAACACTATAGGATTGTTATATCGTGCACCGGGGCTTACAATGCATTGTGCGCCCTGGACCAAAACGACGGCGTTTTTATAAGTTGGTGGGGAGTTGACGTGACAGACACCATTCTGTCTATCCAATCCCGTTACAGTTTTTTTTTTTTTTTTTTTTTAATATTTGTGTTTATGTGTATTATATTAAGAATTTATGTGTATTATATATTATGTTAGATTATGTGTATTATGATAGGAGTTCATATGTATTCTACTATACAATTCTATACATATAGAATATAGAATTTTTTTTTTTAAAAGTTAACGACAGAAACTGGAGTCAGAATTAAAAACTACAAAATGACATTGTTTTGGGTGATACTCACAATACATTATCCGCACTTGTGCACCATATAATTTGGCAACACTGTCCATCAGAATAATAATTTCGTGCCGGGTCAAATTCAGATACTCAATCCAATTCCCATTGCTGAAGCTGCAGAGAGAGCTGGGAAAGTATGGATGCTTTGGACGCAGTTTTTGATCCATTGAGGGACTTCGCCAAGGATAGCGTCCGTCTCGTCAAGAGGTGCCACAAGCCCGACCGCAAAGGTACTTTCTCTTTGCTTCCGATTTCACATTTTTTGCCGGATCGATAATTAAAATTGAATCTGTTCGTGTGTGTAGAATTTTCGAAAGTTGCTGTCCGCACTGCTATCGGGTTCGTGGTGATGGGATTCGTAGGGTTCTTCGTCAAGCTCATCTTCATCCCCATCAACAACATCATTGTCGGATCTGCTTGATTCTTAGATTCCGGTAATTTTTCTTTCTACTTCTATAGATGTTTCGCCTTCTATGTTTTTGCGCTGCTTATGCACCTGAATATCCTGAAAAGATGAGGCTCATGATCCAATGTTGCTTATTTATTCTCCGGTGTTTCTTGTTGATGCTCAATTTAATCAATGCTCAATTTATAGAGCTCATACATGTTTGATAATTACGTATTGAATCAGGAATTTGTGTATTATGTCATTTCGATTAGAGTTTTTTTTCCACTTTTGTTCCCACGACTATTGGATCACACTATTAATTTTTTCATTTTTGGTTTCACTATTGGATCATTTCCACATTTGGTCCCGACTATTAACTTTTTCATATTTTTTTCCCGACTTTTAAAATCTTGCCACATTTGGTTATCCTTTCTAATTTCTGGTCATCGGTGACCAGAACTTTTAGTTGAAAAATGTCATAGAAAATGACAACTTTGTCGTTCATGATAAGTCACTTGACTATTATGCACTCATGTTCAATAACATAGACAAACAAATTTAGTTACCGGTGACCGCAAATTAGGCCAGAAGACCAAATGTGATAATGTTTTAAAAGTTGTGAAAAATTAATAGTCAGGGACCGTGGAAATGATCCAATAGTCTGGGACTAAAAATGGAAAAATTAATAGTCGGTGACCAAATGTAGAAATAATCCAATAGGGCAATAGTCGTGGGACGAAAAGTGGAAAAAACTCTTTCAATTACCATGTTGTTGTCTAGTTAACCTAACAGTCATAGTAAAGTTGCACTGGTGTTGTATTTTTCTATGAACCTATATACAATCATTTCCTGTTTTTACAAGTCTGTTCCTGCTATTTCCCATAAAGCGCACTAGTTATTAGTTCCAACTTCATCATATGTTAGCTTGAATTAGATGAGGCTAACCTTTGAAACCAGATAGGAGTTGAATTTTGCAACCTTGATTCTTGAGTGCCAATGACTTTGTAGTCCTGTAACATTAGTCTGAACTCTATATGAGAGTTCTATACTTCTAACCCCGCTCTCCCCTAATATTGAAGGAGTGGGATATATATATTGCAGGTTAAGTTTACTTATTTAACCACAGTGGTGTGTGTACTCAATGGGGATAATAATTCACCTAAATGCTATGCTCAATGGATATGATTGGGATGTAACCAGCTTGGTTGTTGTGAATGGTTGTGCACTCTCATCCCTTAAGAGAGGTCAGAAGTTCAAAATCACCTCTTGTATGGAAAAACCAATATGGCTAGCACTTTGCCCTTTAATTGGGTTGGTCCGGTGCGAACGGGGATTAGTTTGAGTATGGTACGGGCTTAAAGATTCCTCCTATAGTTAGAGCTTTCTTAGGACACCTTGTGGTCTAACTAAAAAATGAATATGATTGGGATGTGGATTTTAATGGTTATTTTTAACTAATGCTGTCATTTATGATCCCGTGAAAATTATTTATAGTTTTCATTTAATCATCATATAACTCAGTTTTTGGTTGAACTGCAGGTAATGAAAGATTCTAATCCAATGAAGAGTTTACAGATGCTATAGTGAAATACGGGAAGTTATATTTTACTCTTTTAAGTTGCTTTGATAGTGTTTGCCATAATTTGTTTCATAAACTTTCATGCTCCTTGAAGGATGTTTAGTGGCTTACTGGCTTGGTAGTGAATTTTTCTTAAATGAATGATCATTTTCTTTCGGTTATTATCTTAACTGCTTATCGAACTTATTGTTAATGTTGCCGAAATGGATGCTTTTACTTATTTACTATCTATTGCATTTAGAGGTGCCAAACAAACAGGGCTTTGGTCGGTGCGGCCTAGATTACCAATGGCTCTTTTATTTTTTAGCGGCAGACACGGTCAACAGAGTTTGTGAACCACGATCCAAAACATCGTTGTGAATATTATGAGTAAAAATAATGTTGATTATATGTTAGAATAATGTACATTACGTGATTAGAATCATCTAAGGTAACATAATGTGTATTATGTTTTGTTTTTTTTTTTTGTTTTTTTTTTAAAACTACATTATGCTTTAGAATAATGTATATTATGAGTTATAAAAATGTATATTACAGCTGGGCATGCGAAAAAATAAAATTAAGCAAAATGATGTTATTTTTGGGTGGTTGTCCATGCAATTACTATAATTTTTTGGATTGGGTTGCCTAATTTGAACCTTAAAAAATAATGCTCGGCCTAGCCCAATCTATAGCAATTATTGTATGGACCATGGTGCACACAATTTTGTATGGACCATTACAAAAAGTACATTCTTAATATACTAAATGTATATTATTTTTGTACTGAATGTACATTATATAATATAATGTACACTCAGTATACAAATAATGTACATCCCCTGAATATAATGTACATTATTTTTATATTGAATGTACATTATTTTTGTACTGAATGTACATTATTTTATAGTATACAAAATATGGTCCATACAACTTGTGTGGACCATGGTCCACACAATAATGATTGTTGCTCTGCCAATTGTTATGGTATGGACCCGTGTCTAGCATACACTGGACACGGTAATGGTACCGTTAGTGACACTGTTATCTTTTAATCATTTTTATTTTTTTTATTTTTATTTTTTAATTTCAGACCACTTCGTTATAGGAGCATATGTTCATAACTTTATCACTATATGTTCATAATGTCAGAGCTCTGTGTTCATAATTTCATAACTGTACATTCATGCTTTCATAACTGTACATTCATAATTCCGTAACTATACATTTATAATTCAATAATTGTAAATTTATAATTTTCGAAGCTCTATGTTCACAATTTTAGAGCTCTATGTTCATAATTTTATCACTGAGAAAATTTCAATTTTGGTCATATGACTATATGAGCTTTGTTAATTTCAGCACCTGACTTTCAAAAGTGTCAATTTAGTACCTTAACTATGCAATTTTTATCAATTTTGGTCACACCGATCAAATTGCCGGCCAAATTTCGCCGGAAAATTTTTACAATTAAAATAATGAGGGTATTTTTGTCATTTCACATCACTTTTCTTTTTCTTCGGCGAATTCATCTTTTCCGGCAAATCCGAGGATGAGGTGCGCTGCGATGCTTTCAATATTATCCAAAAAGAGAAGAATTTATTCAACATTATCCAAAAAGAGAAATATTTATTCAACATCAATTTTAGTATAATGTTGATATAGAGAAGTTAGTTTTAGAATAAATAGGCATCAACATCAGTTTTAGCATTTCGCTTTCTTCTTTGAGCAAGCCTTTTTTGGCCGGAAAAGTTTTCAACCGGAATTTTGGCAAGAGGTGTGCTAGACGAGCACAAAGAGAAGTGCAGTTCGGAGATTTCTAGGTCCACCGATATCTCAAAGCTCCCCTTATACAAACAGCCAGATGTTTTCAATCGGAATTTTGGGCATCTGAACCCTAATAAATCGACGACGACGGATTGGACGAATGAGTTTATGTATGCTTTGGAAGGTGTGCTGTTGCGACGGATTCGCCGGACAAGACGGAAGAAATGTGAAATGACTAAAACACCTTCATTATTTTAACTGTTAAAATTTTCCGGCGAAATTTGACCGGACTGACCAAATTTGATAAAAATTGCATAGTCAAGGTACTAAATTGACACTTTTGAAAGTCAGATGCTGAAATTAACAAATCCCCTATAGTCATATGACCAAAATTGAAATTTTCTCTTTTATCACTATATGTTCATAATTGTAAGTTCATAATGTCAGAGCTATGTGTTCATAATTTCATAATTGTACATTCATAATTCCATAACTATACATTCATAATTTTCGAAGCTCTATGTTCACAATTTTAGAGTTCTATGTACATAATTTTATCACTATATGTTCATAATTGTAAGTTCATAATGTCAGAGCTCTGTGTTCATAATTCCATAACTGTACATTCATAATTCCACAAACGAATAACGCCGTTAACGGCGAGACAAAATCAATTTTTTTTTAACTGAAATGTCGTCGTTTTGGACTCGTGTCCACAACATAATTTGCGATAGTTCTGCCATTGTTATACCATGTATTATGGTTTACCTTACATTTTGAATTTTGATCTAAAATGATATTCATATTTGTTAATAAATTATGTATATATTATAATTAACATAAAAATTATGGGTGTGGGTTCATTTTTTTTTTTTTTTTTTACAAAGAAGGAAGGGCGAAGTTTCGGGGGAAAAGGCAAAAATCAATCACCGCGGGCATAAGGAGCCCCAATAGAATCCCTGTGAATGCACGCTTCGAGTTCGACGTTCGGGCAAAAATAAAACAAGGCCAAATCGGGGTGAAAACGAGAGTTCTTCGCCAGCCAATTCGCTACTTGATTTTGTCTCCAATCTTTCTTCAACCAAGACTTGCATTCAAAAATGAGGTTGTTGAGAGTTCCTCCACGATTGGCGACAAAAAGCAGATCATTGATCCAGTTGATAACATTGGCCGAGTCACTTTGAATAGCTACTTTAGTAAAGTTCATATCCCAGGCCACTTTAAGACCAGTAAGAATCGCTCGGGCCTCGACAACATCACCAGAACATTTTTCGAGGCTGCTTTGAAAACCCGCGATCATTCGCCTTTGTGATTTCTCAAAACTCCATCGCATTCTGCTTCAAGACTCACAGTTTTGCTGCTTCCATCAACATTCACAGCGATCGTGCCTTCATCTGGCATTTTCAAACACATAATATGTCTATGTTGATCCCTTGTTCGAACGTTTAAAACAGATTTGCGATTGATGGTAGCATGAATCTCCCTACTGTAAGTACGAATTTTCTCAATTTTGCAGTTTAAGTGGATAGTTTCATTATTGAAGACAGAGTTGTTCCTCCATTTCCACAAATGCCAACAAGTAACGCTAAAAGCAGCACTCTAGTCCTGGAAGCCGTGATTAGCACCTTTGAACTTCATATTATCCGTCACCTAGGTGGTCAAGTCAGTACGAAAACATGTATTCACCATTGTGGGAGGCATGAGAGCATTCTAGACCTTTTTTGCAGCAGGGCAATTTCTCAGCACATGATCAATATCTTCGCTGATTCCATGACAAAGATGACAGTAGTCATCTTGGGTTAAGTGCCTTCTTCTTCGCTCAACATTGCATATGATTCGACCATGCATGACGAGCCACATGAAAAAGTTAATTCTGTAGGGGAGTCTCGTTCTCCATATCATATTCCATTTGGCGTTATCAAGCTGGTATGTTTGATTAATCACCTGGTCATAAGTTGTTTTGACCGAAAAATTTCCAGTACGCGTGTGACTCCACAAGATAGTATCTCTAATGGATGGATAGTTATGGAGGAACGCTCTTCTGATTTTGTCTATGATTTCAAGGGAGAGAAGATGATGCAATTTATGAAATTCCAAGCTTCCACAGGGTCCCAATAATCTCTAACAAAACAGTTGAGGTCTTCAGGAGGATTATCACCAGTGGCCATATTCGCAAGAGTATCTTCAATGAGCCACTTACTAGTCCAGAAGTTAGTCTCTTGACCAAAGCCAATAGCAGTACGCATTCCTTCTTTCCGAAAATTTGTAGTAGCCAGGGGCGGAAGCAGCATGGGGCAGTGGGGGCAACTGCCCCCCACCTCATATATAACCCTTGTATGTATATATGTGTATATAGTACATGTTTTCGTATTAGTACAAGAAACAAACAAATATTAACAAGAGATGATTTAGTTCAGCTTGTTAGTGATAATGAACCAAAATCGATTTAATATCTTAAAAATAATATTTATATATACCCACCAAGTATATAAAATATTATTGGATATTTATCCGAAATATATATATATATATATATACACAAATATATATAAAACGGACCCAAAAATTATATACACATGTATATCTACGAAAAAGATATACCAATATATATCAACCAAAATTGGAACTAATAATCCTCATATTATAAGTCCAATCCAACGATTATATCAAAAGATGGAGAACGGATTTTTGCTTAAAAGCATAATTCAAACAAGAAAGAAGGAGGAGGAAAGAAAAGTACAAGTTAGGCAAAGTGTCTGTCTTTCTTTAAAACCTTATTTGCCACCTCCCAAAAGTGCTAGGAGCATTGTGACCTAGGTTTCCCAAGATAAAACGTACAACGATTTGACGTTTGAGCACCCAAACGAGCGAACCCGGCGAACAAGAGCACGGGCAAAACACAGCTACAAGAATGGAGTAGGAGCAGATATTTTGGAGCTGTGAAAACAGAATTTCAGTGTTGTGTGTGTTGTTCTCAAATCTGTGTAAAAACACTCCTGCTACACTCCTTCTTATATAGGAGGTGAAGAATCAATAGCATTCAATTTTGGCATTTAATCCACGATTTGTAACACCTGAAACAGCCACCATTATTGGAGATTTAACTCAAAAATTCAAAACTGGAGTTAATACAATATTCCAGTTTGATCTCTCGTGTAGCAGCTGCAGTGAACTCTCGTGTGATCTCATGACAGCGCACGAGAGATCAAGTTTGATCTCTCGTGTAGCGCACACGAGAGTTCGAGTTCGAACTCTCGTGGTGTGGCCATTCTTCGAGTTCGAACTCTCGTGGTGTGGCCATTCAGTGTTGGAAAACCTGTACAGAAATTGGCATAACTTAGCCCGCAAGGCCGAGCTCGATATCGCTTCTAGTTGGAATTTGATTTGCACCACCCCCCCCTCCCCCTCGCGCGAGAGAGCCTCTATGCTATACAATT